CATGCTAAGCAAGTGTTCTACCATTGATCTATTCCCCCAATCCCAATTCAAAAACTTTTTATACAATTAAAAACATACATATCTCATCTAAAAACAAGATGAAACAAGACAATTATCTTCATAAGCAAAACTCTCTGTTTTTTGGAATTAACTATATGCCTGTGTTTATGTAACAAATATTTCAGTACTTTTGGACTACAACTTGAATTCTAATACATTCCTGTTACAAACAGAAAAGTTCTGGCTCTTAAAAAATCTCTCAATAGAACTGAAAATTTTGTCCAGTATGAATTTAGGAAAATAGCCAAATCCAAAAGATGTATCAGCTATAAAACTAAGAATGTTTCTGTCTTTTCCCATCACCTCCTCCACCACTTTTCAGATTCTCTGATTTGACAGTGGCTTTCTTTCTCCTGCTTTGGGTATTTGCAATGATGGAGAAACTGATAAAGTCAGGGACAGTCTGTAAGTTCATATTTTTGGAGACAGTACAAAGAAAGTTGAGCTAATCTTCTAACTGAAAGACAGCTTAATTATCCAACTCCAAAAGACAAGTTTCCAGTGTCAGCATCTCACAGGGCCTGGTTTCACGGTGTAACATTGTAACAGAAGTGCAGCGGGGCAGGTCAGGAGTAATTCATGCCCAGCAGCACAGCCCAGCCACAGAACTCTAGATTTAGAACTTCAAATTCCTGGCTTTAATATATTAATAGAAAATAACACAGAAAAGTAGAAAGGGAAAATAATTACCTAATATTAGTAAAGTGCTGTAAATTTTGCAAAGTATAAATAACACATAAATGACTAAAATAACAGTAAATATTAAGACACTTATTTCTAATACTGATACATAAACACTATAGAATGTGTATATAGTATTCACTGTCCATAGGTTGACAAATACATCAAGAACATTTTTTAAAAATTAATTTTGTAACACAAATGCCATACTAATTATCATATTTTGCCAGTTTAGAGCTCTCACATGGTAAAGATTGTTCAGAGGTGTTCCATTCATATACAGAACATTAAAGCCTCAGCATATTTTCCATTCTTGGAGGTTGCTGTTTTTGTGATATTTAATTTTCCCTTTAAACTTAAAGTAGATATAATTGTAGATTTGACAGCCTCCTGCTTATAAAATTTTGAGGCTGTGAATACTTCTGTTTTAATCTTGATTCTGAGCCTAGTGGTATGTATCATGCACATTAAGGCTCATTTTGAAAAAAAATACATATATATATGGTTTTGGTTTTTTTTTGTCTTTTTGAGACAGGATCTCACTATGCAGTTCGGGCTGGCCTTGAGCTCACTTTGTAGCCCAAGCTGGCCTTGAACTCCCAAGGATCCTCCTGTTTCAGCCTTCCAAGTGCTGGGATTACAGGTGTGCACTACCATGCCTGGCTGAGTATACTTTAAAAATTTTATTTTTGTCTTCATTTTAAATAATTCTTTTTGTGGGGTTACTACATGTAATGAAGGAGGACACACAATTTAACTAATGGCGTGTAAATTGGACAAAGAGGCAGATCCAGATAGTCATGATTTTCAGCCATGACAGTTTTTTTTTTCTCATCTCATCATAGTATCTTGAATGGCCTGAAATAAGCCTCACAGATACAGTAATAACTTCAGTCTCACAGTGAAAATAATATTCCTAAAAAAATAATTTTCAGGGCACTAATAAACATATACAGTTATATTATGTGGTTAGTTAATACTCATTTAAGGAAAGGACAGCTAGAAGTTGGATGTCTCAATATTCTTACCAAATGAATGTATATTAAGTCAAGATTTTATGTAAACTATTATTTTGGAACCATTTGTTACGACAGGTTAAGTTTTCACTGTATTAGTATTTTTAACTGCCTAGATATTTAATAGGCCACTTCTTATTCCAGTGTCCCCATTCCTCTCTCTAGAATGGATTTGTCCTAACAGTTTTGTTACTTTAATTTCAATTTTCATTTATATACTATATGTAAACTTAATCTTATAGAATATAAAACAGAAAAACACTGGAGACAGCAAAAATGTCAAATATATAAATACATGTACATAAATATATGTGTGTATACACATAGACACAGATACACACGCCTGTTGCTAGGGAAGCATTTCTGGAACCCCACAAAGTTTTAATGAGCCAAAACTCATTAACTTGCTCAAATGTGGCTCAAGTCTCTTGGTGAAAAAAAAATATTAATGGCCCATCTCTATTATTTTGCTTCAATGGGAAGAATCTATGATTTAAAGATATTAAGTATATATTTTGATTTTATATTCATAAACATAAGGCATGTGAATTGGATTATCAGTGTGTACTTCCCACGAACACAGCAGTGACTTAAAAGAGACGGATGCAATTATATTTGTGTTGTCCTTCATTTTATAAAAAGGGTGCTAACTACTCTTCTTTCATAATTCAGAGGAATAGGGAAGAACAGACACTCGCCACATCAGCAGCAAATTATTCTACATTTTTTAGGCTTCTGAGAATGGTTTCTATCTTGTAAAACTCTAGAACTTTATTGTGCTAATATTGGACAATAAAAACATTTTCAAAAATTTCAATGGAAACATATACCAAAAATAAAAAAGAAAGAAAGAAACATATACCAATCTTTTAAACATTCTTTATAAGCCAGCCACATGGTGGCACATGTCTGTAATCCCAGCACTCAGGAGGTAGAGGCAAGAGGATCGTCATGAGTTCCAAGGCCAGCCTAAACCACAAAGAGATCTCATCTCAAAGAAACAAAAACAAAATCCCCCAAAATTGGAATAAAAACAACAACAAAACAACTCAGAAGCCACTTCTAAACAGGGTTGAATAAACTATCCAGAGAAGTTGCCATTTTGACTGAGCTACAGTAAAAAAGTTTACTTTTATTGAAACCCCTTTTAATTTATAAAAAAGAAAAATAAAATCCATGATAAAATAATTTTCATGGATTTTGCTATCTCATTTTATTGTGTTCAGGATATTCTTTCACCCTACTTTAGAATACCACATAGCCTTCACTGTTAAGTATAAAGCTGCATCAGTTAAATGGCCTTTTCTGAGCAAAAACATCCCCTCATGATACAATGATAAAAAGTCAGATGGGCATGGTGGCGCATGCCTGTAATCCCAGCACTTGGGAGGCCAAGGCAGGAGTTATCATTCTAAATTTGACACCAGCTTGGGCTATGTAGTGAATTCAAGGCCAGGCTGAACTCACTACATAGCAAGACCTTATCTCAAAAAAAAAGGGCCAAAATACTCTATAATAATATTTTATTTTCTTATTTTGCCCTCAGCAAGAATCAAGAGGCCAAACAGTTTAGGATCAAAGGAACTCTTACCCACATGGGTATAAATTAACTAATTTCTACTAGCTGTGTGCTGTGCATATGTTTTCAGATCAATTAATCTCATATTTCCCAACCCTGCATAACTGTAACATTCCTGGAAAACAAGGTCTGAGCAGCTATGTGAGATTAAATGTAAAAAGTTAAGGAATTTTTTTTAAAATTTAGATTTTTAATAAGATAATTTTTACACGGTGTAAATATTTTAAAGTTTAAAACATGGTATTATCATTAAAATAACAAATGCTTGAATGGGAGCTGTGCTGCTCAAAAATATTTCAAATCTTAAGACTAAACCAAACTACTACTAAAAAGACATGAGTAAAGTGGCTCAAATAAACCCTGTCTTTTCTTCAGGTTAACTCATCCTTTAATTACCAGTTCTCTACTTTGCACAGCATGGATTTTCATTTCTGAGAATTAATAAAACAATGTTTCTAACATTTAACTTAATTTTGTACAACTGAGGTTTTATTAGATTAATAAAATAATAGAACTTCAAGAAAATTTAAGACTATAATATTATCCTTATTATAATCTAATCATCCCATTAAACAAATTTTGCCAGGCTAAGGTTATCTAATAGAAATAATTCTTTACTGATAAAATTTTGAAGCGTGGTTCTTTTATTTGCAGACTTCTTTTTCTTTGTTGCTGTATTACCAAGTAACTGGACAAATGGTAAAAAGATGTGATTCAATTTATTTTTTTAATTTTCAATTCCTGTTTTTTTGGTAATAGGAATTGAACCCAGGACCTTGTGCTTGCCAGGCAGGTGCTGTGCTGCTGAGCTATATCCCCAGTCCTGTGATTCAATTTTTAAAAGTTCTTTTAAAATATGTACAATTGAATTATTTTCATTTCAGATATGAAAAACTGTATTTACTAGATTCTTTTCCTATTATTAACTTCTGAAACACACATTGTGAAACATAAATATTAATGTTCTTCTTTATTAACTTTGACTTTCCTGTCCTGGTTAGAAGGAAAACAGAATGGAGGCTTTTCAGAATGAGAATCCAGGGGCTGTGTGACGCTTATACCACCTGACACGGTTACGGTGTCCTTACTCCACTGCTGACCCAGGACTAGCTCCATTGTACAAGCTCACTGTGGCTTCAGGAAGCTGCTCAATGCCAGGAGTGTATGAAAATATATGAAGTATGGTTCACATCTAGACCAAGCTCCTGATATCTGAGAACTTCTAGACAGAGCACGCACCACCACAAACTCCTTGACAAATTATTTATCATTACTAGAAAAACAAATGTCATAAATCCCATTCAAAGCTGGACAGGGAAAAGTGTTGCCACTGTCACAGTTAAGTTTTATTTTGTGTTTCCTTTCTTTTGGTGCCAGGGATCAAACCTAGCACCTTGCACACAGCAGGAAGTGCTCTACCAGTAAGCTATGTCCCTAGCCCAGCTTGTTCTTGGGTTCCTGACACCTAAAATATATTCAAATAGTATTCCTTAAACAAGCCTGTTTTGTTTTTATTTTATGTCTTTTTTCTTTCTGTCTTTTTGAGACAGGGTTTTCCTATGCAGTTCAGGCTAGCCTTGAACTTATTTTGTAGCCCAGGCCGGCCTCGAACTTCTAGCAACCCTCCTGCCTTAGCCTGCTGAGCGCTGGGATTACAGGCATGTGCCACCATGCCCAGCCTGTCTTCAGATATCATAAAATGTTTACAAATATAATTTATTCAATGTAAGGAAAATAATAAACCAAACTTTAAGGGCACAGTAAAGACAGTAAAAGTTATAAATGTAAACACTATAATTACAGAAGACCACAGAAGATGAAGAAAATCCAAAGCAAAACTTCCTTCTAAAAAGCTTGACACCTTTCCAACCTCTTAGAAAATATCTGGGTAGGTGTATGGCAGGAGTTCAGGAATGGGCAGTAGTGCAGAATGAAAATTAAAGCCTCTCACTTTATAGACAATTCATTTAATGAGTAGTTTGGAGTCTCTTGTTTTCATCTACCTTATTCTGTAGGTATAATTTCCCAATAATATAAGTTTTATCAAGATTAGTGTTCACATCTCAATCTGCTTTAAAAATAATTGAATCTTTATGTTATCTGTGAAATAAAGGTGGGCTCAGAACCCTATTACATTAAAAAAAAATCTTTTATTGTGAAAACCTGCTGCATTAGCCAGGCAAGGTGATACATGCCTGTAATTCCAGACACTCTGGAAACTGAGGCAGGAGGATAGTTTGAGGCTGGCCTGAGAAACATAGGGAGACTGTCAGACAGACAGACGGACAGACAATGCTGACTGCATCTGCTTAGCCTAAAACCCCACAATCATTCTACTCACTTGGGTCTCTCCATTGTTACTAATTCTTGCTGCTTTAATGGTCTTGGTGGGCAAAAATACTCATACTGTCTTCAGATTCTCACACTTAATGTAAAAAACTGCACAGTACATGGCATCATTTCTGTGTATGTTCTAATACCTTTCTTCAAGAATGATTTCTGAGAATAAATAAAAACACTATACTTTTAAGTCAACTTTGTTATAAAAGAGGAAATAGGATTTAAAATTCAAACACATACAGTTTCTGAAAATTCTTAGTTACACTGAGCTTGGTTTAAATTACTTATTTGTAATTTAATACACAGAACTAAATGAAACCTGAATTTCCAAACAGCCAGTGCATGAAATATCGTATTAGGTGACCTATGTAAAAACAAAAAACTGACCTAACTTCAGGATTGTTTTGCTTTTAAGAAATGTGGTATGGTATAAGGAAAAGGCCAGACGGGCACTTAAATATAATTTGGGACCAAATACTTATACAAGTCAATATGGAAAAAGTTAGACCAAAGGCATTTCATCTTAAAGCGAGTGAGATCTCACATTTACATAGCACCTTATACAGAGAAAGTGCTTTACAATGATTTCTTGACAGTCATTCGTCAATGTAAATAAGTGGTCTCTAAGCACTTCGAGGCAAGCAAATACCCAAAAAAATCTATTCAGTAACAAATACTTGGACTAGTAGATATAACCAAGAAAAAGTATTAAGAGACCTGTCATAATATCACATATAGAATTCATTTATGATCTTAATGGCTGATAGGAAAATGTTTAGTAGGAACTACTGAGAAATGGAAAGGTTTAAATGAAGGAATAAAAGTAAAACAAATGAGGCACAAGTGAACAACGGTTTCCTATAACCGTAAGTATATGAAAAATAAATCTTTTAGCTGTGGAGAAAAGTTGTAAGTATAAATGTAAGCACATGGCTAGAATCTGATTCTGTTAGTAAGCTACTCCAAAGCAAGAAAAAATTAATGTACTACCTGATTTCTTTCTTCTATAATTTCTCCCCATATAACATCACCAATGTATTCACTTTTGCTAGCAAACAGAATAGCACAAAATAATAAAATTTCACATATTTATGTTTTAAAAATGTTCTCCAAATCTTAGGACAATTTAGTTTCCTATAAACTCATTTTTTTCCAGCTAAGTAATTCTGCCAGGTGCTTAAGCTAAGATTTAATCAGCACCTCTGCCAATGTATTTAAGTCTTCGCAAAAAGTGCACTTGTCCACCATTCTGTGTAGTAAATATGTAAGTTATCCGAAGTGCATTTGAAAAACAAATGAAAACAGATTAATACATCATAAAAAGATTAATTCCCTTTAAACAAAGACATTCTTATAAAGCACAGTAACACAGAAGCACAATAAAGAATATAAATCGTGTATCAATTATTGGCAGAAAATCTAATTCAATACAAAGCCTACACCATTGGGGAAGAGGACATTTCCATACAAAGAAAAGTATTACACTATTATACAACACTTTTAATCAGACACTTACAAATTTTTGGCACATTAAAAGAAACTAAAAAGTCTACAAATAAAGAACAAAGAAACTAAAACAAAGATACAAGAGACAGAAGTCCTCAAATGTGAAACGCTAAATATTGACATAGAAGAGAAACAAAAAATAAGCTGGCTGAGTTTCCTGAAATGTTGTTCTATGTAACAGAAGTATGCTTCAAAGCAGGTTGTTTATTTCTAATGGCAAGACTTCTCTACCTTGCTGTGGCTGGCTGGACGTGCCCCGGATAAGATCTTCTTGTGCTGGTTGCTTGTCTTTGCCGAGCTAGAAATGACTGCCCTGAACCAGTGCTAGCTAGTCTATCTTCAGCTGCTTTTTTATGCAGAGTCATTCCCTGAAACATTAAAAAAAAAGGGTAAGCAATGAAAAAAATAGTGGAATACATTCTTACAGAATAAAATTTCACTATGCAGAATTTGCTACATTAAATAATAAAGCACTTTAGGAATATTAATTCTATTTATTATAGATTAAGATCTTATAGTGGCATTTAGTTCCAACAATTAACAGCCAATCTTTTGGAGAAATTAAGGCTACTTTTCTGAATTTACAATAGGTAATGGAAAGATTTTTGGAATACGTTACCCATACTTCCCATTCAAATTAAATGTATTTTTGGGGATACTGGGAATCGAACTCAGGACCTCACACTTGCAAAACTAAATGCATAAAGTGGTTTTCTAAGAAAAAAAATAAAAATGATTGGTAGTAGTTGATTAACATGGGTTTTGGAAATCATGTATTATTTAGAAAGGAAAAACACTAATATAATTATTTCTTATGATGAAAAGTCATATTGGGTATTACACATACCTCCATGCTGTTTTTCTTTGCTTCAAGGTAGACTTGTGTTCTCAAATAAATAAAGAAAAGTTCCTAACTGCCCACTACAGAGGGCCCAACCAAGCAAGGGGTGTCTTTTGAAGATACAAGGATCACCCACTACCTTTGAGGAAAGAGGAAGCACAACTGCAGGGCCCAAAATACCACCGCAGGAGGGGGAAATGTCAGGGTGTTCCTGGAAGGTGGGGGAATAACAACAATAATAGTACTACTCTATAAAGGCAAAAGTCTAGGAGCAGATCAGGAAAAGAGCAGTTTTGGTACTATTTTAATAAACCAACACAGAACTCCAGCTGGAGAAACTTTAAGAACTGCGAGGTATTGTTTAATCTCACCAACTAGACACAGGTAAGCTGTTAGGAAGAAGTGGCGGCTGACACTCAAGAAGAAACAACAATGCACAAAAGACTGGCAGTGTCCTTTCTTCGTTTCTCCTTCCTCCCTCCCTCCCTCTCTTTTTTTTTTTTTTTTTTTTGGAGACAGGGTCTCACTAGGGTCTCATAGTTCAGGCTGGCCTCGAACTCACTATGTAGCCCAGGCTGGCTTTGAATTTATAGTGATCCTCCTGCCTCAGACTCCCAAGTACTGGGATTACAGGCGTACACCACCACGCCTGGCTAGAGGTAAGTTTTCTTATCACTAGTTAGTTCTAGGAAAACACTGGTTCTGGCTTTGCATTTTTAACAGAATTTCAATCTATCATATATCCCCAGATATAACACAATTTCCTAATGAAAAAAATCCAGAAAAACTTTCTCTAAGTCAATCTGAAATCAAATCATGTAAAGATTTGACTAAAACTGACAAATATTTGTTGATAATCTTTAATTGTCTCAAAGGACACAACCAACAGAGTGAAGAAACAACCTACAGAATAGGAAAACATTTTTGCCAGCTACTCCCCGGACAAAGGACTAATATCTACACTATATAAAATACTAAAAAAATTAGACTCCCCCAAAATAAAAGACCCAATCAAAAAATGGGTAATTTAAATAGATACTTCTCAGAAGAAGCAGTACAACTGGCCAATAAATACTAATAAATACGTGAAAAAATGTTCAACATCAGAGATACCATTTTATGCCAGAAAGAATGACTATCATCAAAAAAATCTAGTAACAACAAAAGCTAGTGAGGATGTGGGGAAAAAGGAACTCCCCTACATTTTGGAGGGAGTGTAAACTAGTATAATCACTTTGGAAATCAGTATGGAGATTCCACACACACAAAACAATTACAAATTACATTTGATCCAGCCCTTCCCCTTCTATGTATCTTTTCAAAAGAGTTAAAAGTTATATTACAGGGATATGTGCACACTCATGCTTACAGCACCACTATTTATAATACGTCTTGCAAATAGCATATACATCCATCAACAAGTGGATGGATAAAGAAAATGTGGTATGTATACACAATGGAGTAGTACTCTGACATAAAGATAAACCTGAGGCACTCATAGGTAAATGAATTTAACTTTTGGTTGGGGGTATTGAGAATTGAACTCAGGACCTCATATTTGCCAGGCAGGTGTGATGCTGCTGAGCTATATTCCTGGCCCCAAATGAATTTAACTTGAGAACAGACTGTTAAGAAAAATAAGTCAGACACAGAAGCTTAAATATTATATGGTTTCTCTTATATGAGAAACTAAAAAAATACAGAAATTAATAAAGAGCAAAATAGTAGACAGAAAGTAGGAAGAAGTTCAAGTAATTACCCAAACTATCTATTCTGTTTCAAAAACATTTTAATATGTATGCTGAACTGTTTCATTTATACTACTAGTTTCTCTTAGTTCACTGAAAAGAAAGTTTTGTGCTATTACCTGTTTGTTTCTTCTTTGTTGTTTACAGAATCTTTTTTGTTTACGACTCATTTTCTAAACATTTTGGCAATTCTTTTAAGATTATGACACAGTGTATTAACTATTGATATCTCTACTTTGTTATAAATTTTGCATTTAATAAAATGCCTTTTGTATTTATTACCCCTTATATTACATTAAAACAAAAAATTAACAATTCAGATACTTATATTGAGATTATAATTTATTTAAAATATACTTTCACTTTCACACTTAATTGAGTCACATTCTTCACAGTTTTAAGACCACAATATCCATCACAAAGCTATTCTCTGAGCTACTTAATATACCTTTTCCCAGCGCTCACCATCTCTGTTTCCACTTAAACTGTCTGACATGCAGTGTTTTCTGAATGTAAGCAAGATGCAGTTACTGGTTATTTAAGTTAGAACATAATTTGTATAAATCTATGTATTCTCTGAAGTTAAAAATTAGGACTGTGCTTTTTTGGGGGGCTGTTTTCTTGTGAGACAAGGTTTTACTATGTAGTCCAGACTGGCGATCCTGCCTCCCAGTTGCTGTGATTACAGGTGTGTGCCACCATGCCTGGTGAAGACTACTCTTTAGTGTCATGTCACAGAATGAATCTAGTTCTGTAAGAAACAGTATGTGAAACCATACAGATCAATTAAGGATATAAGATTACTAATGAGGATTGAAGTATAGAGCTACAAGAATGAGATTACTAAACAGAACAGAGGAACAGTAAAAGTCAGGATTAATTTCCACAGAACTTCATGTGTGATTTTGTTTCTATGTTTAGATTTTTAAGACATCTACATCTGTTAATATTCTAAATCCAAAACTCTTTTCTAAAAAAAGTGAAAAAATGTGTCTTGACCAAGACTAAGACAAATTTGACCAAGGTAAGTAAAATGTTGATATGTTATGAAATTTATGAATTTTTAGCACAGAAATCACATTGTTAGGCCAGGGACACTAACCTTTAAAAGGTAGTATCAATTATAACTGTAAAACAAAAACAATGGTTTTATGCTAACAGAGTATGTATAGGGCCAGACCAGGATGTTTCAGTTACCTGACACAGAAGTTGTTTCATTAGGAAGAACAACAAAAAGAAAAGGAAGACAAAAAGTCCGGGAAGAAGTACTAAAAAAGTGCTGAATTTTGAAAAGTTCTTCAAATCCAGATAAGAATCTTGATAAGCATTCAGTTTTCCCTGAAATGCATTTACAGTTTTGTGTTGAACATTCAACTTGAAAGCCCCAAGGGGGTCAAGGTCTGGCCCTGAAGACATGCTCTAAACCCCATGGGATTGTTCAGCTGTCCTAAATGTGAGTCCTGCAAAGGCACTGAGGCAGTGTCACACACAGATTAGGTCAGAAAGGTGATGCTCAGAAGGACTGTATTCAGACATGATTAATGTCCCTTTCTTTCCCTGCAATGTGTGGGCTGATGCTGAGCTTTCCATCCTCTAGGGTAACCATATTTTCAAAATGTCCTTGCTGTTCACACAGTGGTTATCATATTGGCTTCTCAGTCCTCAGGTCAGCACTGAGGCTTTGTTAGTGTTTGTTAGGATAGCAATAACTTACTCACTTTTTGGTAGAATTACTTCTATAGTAAAGGCAATATAGTAAATATCCATTCAACTTTGCATTATGTTCTAAAGTGCTATTTTTCTTACCATATTGTACCAGGCACTAACAATATATTTCTCCTCCATGTCTCTTTGACTCTTCGTTTTCTCATATTCTTTCTAAAGAACAAGCACATGTAAACATACAAGATAATTCAATATAAACAAAATACAATTAATTGTCTAAATCCACAGACCTAATCATGTAACATAGCAAGGGTCACAGAAAATAATAATCAAAATAACAGTATTTTACTGTACAGTACAGTAAACTACCTCTAATGAGTGGAACAGTCGGTCCCGTTCCTGCAGTTGATTTTTAAGAGCTTGTATTTCTGGTGCTGCTCCTTGATTCTGTTTAGGATCTAAAGTACGGATAACCTGCAAAGAGTAATGAAAGAAAAATTTACAAGGTCTTGGGCTGTGAGTATAACTTTGTAGCAGACTGCTTGATAACAAGTGTGGGGTCCTGGATTCAGTCCCGAGTTCTGCAGCAAACAAACAAAAAACTGAACGTCTCAAAGCGTATAACACTTAATATCTAGGAAAGCAATTCTTTTCTTAAAAAAAAAGGATAAAACTATGAGAATCAAGGGCTATATTACAAAGATAATTTAAAATACAAACTTCTGAAACAACTTTTGAATTAAATGATAAATCACTTATGAGAAGCAATTCTGACTTAAAATTGCTAAGTAGTGCTAAGTAGACACAACTAGTAGCCCCCTACTCTGTCCTTTCCTCAGCTAGTCCTCTGCCTCTGAACTTATAAGCACTGCAGAGGTCCCAGCCAACATCAACCCATCACTGTGCTGCCATCTCTACCCCGGCTGGTAGTTGAGGCTGGGTACGGGATGCAATTCTGGCTGACCAACAATAGCCCTTCTGGGAGAGGTCCTTTTTATTCCTAATACTTTTACTATCAAAATGTTAAAATGATAAAAACATTTGTTTTTAACCTCGATTCATCAACTCCTACAGTGCCATATTGTTTTTCTCTCTCTACACCCACATGCACTTGTTTTGGAGACTTATTTTAAAGTAACCCACAGACCTCATGATACATAACCCTGAGGTACTCCACTGTGTATATCCTTAGATCAAGGGTATTACTTCACCTTTGACCACAATACCTACTACTATCACTGTGAGGAAATTAACAACTCTACAGAACTGTCCCTAATGGGTTCAAATCTACCTTCCCATAGGTATCTCTAAAATATCTTTTAACTGACTTCCCGTTCCCAATTCAGGACTCAAATACCAGTGTACTGCATTTGGTGATTAGGTGGAGCTTTTTAAAAGCTGATTGCATGGCCTATTTTTGTTTTGCCATGACACTTTTACCTCCAATTCTGGTTTTACCTGATGATTTCCTTGAAGGTAATGTTGAATTTGTTCCAAGAGTGTCCTTTTTCCTCTGAGCTGAAAATCAAGTCTAGAAGACGACTTAAATTCGGGTGAATTATTACATGATACGCCATGAGGAGGCACTGATGCTCGTGTATAATACCATACGTTAATTTTGATTCTTGGTTATGGTGGTGACTGGCACTCATTTCCTACACAGACACATTTTCTTCTTGGTAATCAGTAACTAATCTCTGCAGAGACCTCTTTTGAAAACTACTTGTAGTTCACTTTTTTTTTGTTCAAAGATTTTTGTGCTTAATGTTGTACGCATCCTATATTTAAAAATCTCATTCTGGGTGTGGTGGGAGCATGCCTGTAATTCCGGCACTTCTGAGGCTGAGGCAGTATTGCCGTAAGTTCGAGGCCAGCCTGGTCTAGACAATAAGTTCAAAGCCAGCCTAAACTACAGAGTGAGAACCTATCTCAAACAAACAAAGAAAGAAACAAACAACTCCCCCTTCAAATCCTCAGTGAAGATTGATCAGAAAGTGCAGTGAGTTGCCCTTATATTAATATTCATTCTTACACTTTTGGCTTTCTCTAAATATTTTTTATATCGTTCCTCCATTTGCTTCATCTCCTCTTCCTTCTTCCGTAAAGCTTCTTGTAATTCTTCAATTTTTAGGGCTGTAAATGGGAGATATTAAAGGAGAATTTTTATATTTTAACAACTTAAAAACTGTATTAACTGAAAAATTAATAATAGTTAACAGATTTGAGAGACTGGCCTATTTTTATACCCAATTTTTTAAAAATACCAGTTCAAAAAGTTTTTTTTTTTTTTTTTTTTTTTTACAAAAAGCTTTTCTTTCATAAACAATAATCTAGTATAGAACAGTCTAAGTTTATAAAGTTCCACTGATGGGTGAATGTAGAAAAGGTGGTATATTTATAGAAAATAGTATCACACACTCAATTCTGATACATGCTACAACATAGAACATAATGCTAAGTAAAAATAAAAGACATTACGCCTATTTCTAGGTAATAGGGCCTATTTCTATATAAAAATCATTAGTTCTAGTGTAGTGTATGGGTAAATCAACTTGAATACTACATAGAAAAAACTCACAGCTGTTGTTGAATCTGGGCTCAAGGTCTTCAATAATGGCTCTTTTCTTTTGCAGTTCGTTATTGGCTTCATGTAGCTTCTCTCTGTACCAAAATACATGACACTGTATCACTTACAACTGTTTCTGTATCTTTCTTCCACTTCATATTAAAGATCTGCATTCTTTATACTTGAAAGACAGTTGCATAGAAGTATTGTAAGACAAAAAAATTTCACTTGAAACAATATTGGTGTCTTTATATGTGAAGGAGTGTTAAAAGGGGACAAGTCCATTTTTTTGGAATAGGGATACTATAAAAGTTAAATTTTAAACTTTGCAGAGGTTTTATACTATAAACTCTTATTGCAGAAAAATAAAGGTTAATGGAAAGAACACCCCATATTAACAAAAAAGAATGAAGTGATGATACATATATTACATAAATAGATCTCACAGAATAATACTGAACAAAAGAAGTCAAAGGGTAATACTGTACGATTCTAGGTATGAGAAGCTGAGGTGCCAAAATTGACCCAAACTGCTTGCTGACCAAAATTGCTTATGGATGTAGGTCAACATTCAACAAGGTAAACATTCATCAAGCCCTGTATATACGAACTTGGAGAATATGCATGCCCTCCCTCCCTCTATATGTGTACATATATGTTTGTGTGTACACATACACACACAAGCTATAGTTCGATATAAAAAAATTAACAGAAAGCCTTATTTCTTTCCAGGTATTTGTATAGTATGTGTAACTGTCCCTTGATAGTATTTATTATGGCACTGTGAGTAGGAAAAAGGTTGTAGAAATTGGAAAACACAGAGGAACATTAATAAAAATTGAGTATTTCTGATTTTTTCAATGTATAATACTATAATAAAGCCTTTTTTCCAATAAATTATTTTTGAAGATTTGTGATATAGTTTAAAAAATTAAAAAAAAACCTAAGCTGAGTGAATCACCATTAGATTAAAAACCAGAATTCATTCAAAATCTTAGCAGTTACTTGTGTTTCTATCTCCCTCCTAGAACTAAGTCACAATTTCAGTCATTCTCATGATTATCATGATTTTATCATTGTTATTTCTAAACACATTGCTTAATTTTGCTGTTTTTAAACTTTATACATAATTATATATTGTTCTGACTCGTACCTTTTGATAAATATTATGTTCTTGAAATTCATCTAAGTTGATGTCAGCCCTAGTTTGCTAATGTTTTTTAGTTGCTGTACAGTGTTCTACTGTTTGAACTGACATTTTATCATTTTCCAATTGGTGGATGTATGTATTATTTCCACCCTGTGATTATAAATGATACTTTTTCATACTTTCTTCCGCCTGTCTCTTGGTGCATATGGACCATAGCTCTAGGAATCCTGGGAATATATAGAAGAACTATGATATCAAAGAGGTGGAGATCTGGGTATGGGGGCATATGCTTGTAATCCCAGCACTCTGGAGGCTGAGGCAGGGGGATCGCCTTAAGTTTGAGGCCAGCCTGGGCTACAAACTGAGTCCAGGCCAGCTTGAACTACACAGTGACTCTGCCTCAAAAAAGAAAAAAGGAAACACAAAACAAAAGCAAGGAAGAGGTGTACTCTGAAGTTTACTAAATTACTGATGTTTAACCTCCTACGAGGAATGAATGAGAATTATTACTGCTTAACACCTTTAGTAGCACAGACCATCTGATTTTTACAGTTTTTATTAATCTGGTATGTTTAAAATGGTCTTCACTATAGTTTCAAATTCGAATGATATTTAACATCTTTTTACACAGGTAGAAGCCATTTGGTGTGTTGAATTATGTCTTCCAAAAAGATAAGCTGAAAAGCCAGGTATGGTAGCTCACTCACATTTGTAGTCCAGCTCTTAGGAGGCTGAGATAGGAGGTTGGTTGTGAGCTCAAGGGCAGCCTGGGATACATGATGAGTTAAAAGGCCAGATTGAACTGCACAGAGAGACCTTGTCTCAAAAACAAAGTGAAACAAAACAACCTGAAAGATAAGCTGAACTTCTAATCCCTAGTATTCTGAATGTGGTATTATTTGGAAACTAGGCCCTTGTAGATAATCAGCTAAGAGAAGTTCACACTGGATGAGGGTGCGCCCTATATCCAGCAACTGGTGTCCTTACAGGAAAGACATGTGAAGAAACACACAGTAGCATCCTCTTCTCTGTAGTTAAGTGTTCCTAGGTCTCAGCTGCATGTGGTCAATTACAGTGTGAAAATATTATATGTAAAATTTCTGATATAAACAATCCATAACTTTTAAATTAAGTTGTTTTCAGTAGTGTGATGGAATCTCATATGGTCCTGTTATGTGATGCCTGGCAAGAGAATCATCCGTTGGTCCAGCATGTCTACACTGTATGTGCTATTTACCCATTAGTCACTCACGAACCACTGTCACTGGATCAATGCATCATTATATGTTTCTAGTTTATTATTAGCTCTTGTTGTTAATCTTTTATCAGGTCTAATTTACAAATTAAGCTTTATCATATGTATGCATGTATGTATGTATAGGAAAAATAGTATATAGAGGGTTCAGGGCTATCCACAGTGAGGCATTCATTAAGGGTCCTAGAAGGAATCCCTAAAGATGATGGAGCTACTGTACAGAAAAAGGAGGTAAAGGTGGAGACAGAGACTGGGGTGACACATGTGGATGGCAGCCACCACACACAGGGAGGCTAGTGCGGAACAGTCTTCCTTAGACCCTCTAGAAGGAACACTGACACCTTAATTTTACATTTCCATGCCCCATAACTGTGAGAAAATACATGTCTGATGTTTTAATCCATGTAATCTGTTATGGCAGCTCTAAGAAAAAGAATATAGACATCATCTTTACTAATAAACTCTTTCTGATGAAGATTTGGATTTGGTGGAAACAAAAAACTGGAAGAGCTGATCAAAATGAACAACAAATTTACTGAAGATAAAGAAACCATGAAAAGGTGTTAAGACCAGTTATAAAAAGTTATACCAGTTATAAAAATTGTTACTGATTAATAAATTGCAGAAATGGCCAATGTGAACACCGAATTTCCGAAATCAAGGACAAAATGATAAATTACAACAAATTACTCAGAGAAGCCTTAAAAACAATAACAGAACAAGAAAAACTCATCCAACAGCTACTAGAATGACATAAAGACCAACTTAAGGCTAACTGGAGTTAGACAGAAACTAGAAAATAGCACTAATGAAATAAAAAAAAATTGTTTACAGAAATCATAAGAGAAAACATCTGAAGTATGAAAAAAAGAGTTCAACATACAAACAAGTGAGGTTTACAAAACACTGATGAACTATAATGAAAATGGGAAGTTCTCCACAACATATTATAATTAAAATTGCAAATGTCCAGCAAAAACCCCAAATTTAAAAAGCTGTCAGAGAAAAGCAAAAAGCACAAACAAATGAATAAATGAGACACACAGGCTTAAATGCCATATGTTATCTCTCATTTTAGTAAGGCAAAGTAAAAATGAAGGACTGACAGAAGAGAGATCTTTTGCAAATGGGAAAGGAAACAAGAGACCCAGGAAAGGGGAGGGGTAGAGGAAGTAAGATGATTTAAGATGTCTCATGTACATTTACAAATACTCTCAATGAATATAAACATTCTATGTTGTAAACATGAACTAGAAATAGTAATATAATAATGAAAACAGGGAAACAGGATCTAAAGCCAAAGGGAAGGAGGTAGGTAGGAAGAGAACAGGAATAAATAATACTCAATATGTGTTATGCACATGTACCTATTCTCTAAAATCAATGTAAACTTTGTGTACTGCAAGCAAAATAAAAATAAAATAAAATAAAAGAACCTGCCTATTGTTAGACTTCTCAACAATTCTTAGTTGCTAGGAGGATCTCATATCTCCCATATTTTAATAAAAGAAGAAGGGAAGGTGGGAAGAAGGGAAAACATGAGTCAAACTTCCAGGCAACAAAATTTCTTTTTAATCATGGTGGAAGAAGTGAAAATTATCTCTGTATCCTGAAGATGTCTGGTTTACCACAGCATGCTCTCCAACAGCACTAATTCATGACCACCCTATATCCAGTGGCTGCAAGGAGTTTCACTAGGAAGTGACATAAAGGATTAAAGTTGTTGAAGGGGAAATTATGCATGTATGTATATACAGGATAGCTAACATAGTTGTACTACTGTCTTCCATTACTTTAGTAAAAGGAACAGTTAATGATTACTTGTTTGATCGATCTTGCATGTCTCCATTTGTTTCCCTGAGAAATCACTTTGAAGATATCAATACGTAATACAACAACCACTATTAATTTCCTACAACTTTGTCTGTAACTCTGTATTGTTTGTATTGTTCTTGTGCTATTTTGTAAATGGGTATCTGTTTGGTAGTATGTTTTCCTTCTTTATTCTTAAATTTAAAAAAAAGGATTAAGGTTGTTACTGAGTGCGAGAAAAATGATGAAGCATTCTTAACATCATTCGAAGATTTCTTCTTCACAAGAAAAGTATTATCCTAGCTTCTAGATTACAAAGTCTTATTTATAGGTGTTTGTCATTCAAGGAAATATTTGAAAATCTACTACTGATAGAAAACTAGTAAGTTTTTTTTAAAAGGAATATTCAGCTGGCCAAACTTTAGAGGTGAGAAACTACAGCCCATGGGTCACATGTGGTTGTCTGTCTGTCTTTGTATAGGATGTGTTCAAAACATATGGTAAATTTTAAATATTTATTACAGTAAAAAACACTACCATTAATCTCCCTCAAAATACTCTCTTGCTTTGAACACCTATCCCACTGTTCTTGTCACTTCTTGAAGCACTTCTAGAAGTCTTCTTTTATATCTTCCTAAGTGCCGATGTCAAGTGATATTCCACATAAAAAGAGGCACATAAAAACATTACAGTGTTTATTCCCCTGGTTCCAGCACTATGCAAACTGTTTTTTTCCCAAAAGTCAAAATGACTGCAAAAGGTCAACATTTTGAACTGATTCAGGACATCAAGAGAGCCATGACAGTGCAACTAAAGACATCTGTGAAAGGGGATTTCCAGGGGACCTGTTTCAGAAAGTGACAAGAACAATGGGATGAGTGGGTTGACACCCTGGGGAGTTTTCTGAGGTAGACTAAGGGCAATATATCTTCTACTGTAATAAAGTTTTGGAAAAATATTTAAGCATTAACTGTAATTTTTTTTAATCACACTATATATATGAAGGGTTTGGATTTTCTGTTTTACAGAAAATAGTGACTAAAGTGACTAAAATAGTGACTAATAGTGACTAAAGTGACTAAAATAGTGACTAATAGTGACTAAAGTGACTAAAATAGTGACTAATAGTGACTAAAATAGTGACTAAAGCCAGGGCAATTGCACCAAGCTACAGCCCCAGCCTGTTTTTATTTTTTATTTTAGTTTTCCTAAATTGCCCATGCTGGGCTCAAACTTCAGATCCTCCTGCCTCAGCCTCCCAGAGTGCTGGGATTAAAGGAGTGCATTACTACACTTCGATTCTTTATATGTGTTTTTATTGGAGCAGTCACAGTTACTAGTTTAGCACTGTCCATGGCTACATTCAAGCTAGAGTCACAGAACTGAGTGGCTATGACAGATACCAGAACCACAGTGCCTGACTAATCACTTTCTGACCCTCAGATAACCCTTGCTGTACGTCTCAACCTCTCAACTATGATATGATATAAACACTACCACGAAGCCTGACGTCTTGTAAAGAATCACTTCTAGTGCACTCACAGTGACTTGATACTTTGGATAGAGGTGACCTGTGGATACTACTAACATGTATTACAACTTTCTCCATCTTCAAGTACCACCTGTGCCACCGCCTAGACCCTTAGTAACCGTGTGACATAAAACACTTTTCTTTTACAATATAATGAGTCTTATAACTTTTATACTTACAGATGTTCTTCAAGCTTCTTTTTTAGAAGAACTGACTGAAAATGGAAAATAAAAATTATTTATTAACTTCTTAATTTTTTAAAAATTAAGACTACAGAAGTAATTAATTTTGAATCAGCTTTCCTTCATTTCTTTGGTCAAAGGTCTCAAAACACAAAGTAACTATGTCTATTTCCTTTAATAAAGGGAGAGAGTAGCCAGCCCATGATTAGTAGCAATTAGTATAAGATACCCAGAAACTGGAGATTTCAGCTTGCCATCTATAGTAGAGAAAACTAAAAAGCCATGGTTCCAGACAATTGATGCAATGGTAGGAGAACTAGGAAGGGTTCTCAATAACATGTGCCGATTTTAATGCTGCATAATACAGGGTTTTGTTTTAGGTTTTTTTTTGAGACAGGGTCTCACTATGTAGTTCAGGCTGGCCTTGAACTTGTGGCGATCCTCCTGCCTCAGCCTCCTGAGTGCTGGTATTACAGGCATACACCACCATGCTCAGATGGGCAATGCAATTTTGACTAGATATTCTTTAAAAAAGGTCTCCTAAAAAGCAAGAGATCAAAACTAACCTAAAAATAAAGAATAAAGGTATTCTAGATAGGAGTACTAAGTTTCATAAACACTCCTAAAGGTACTTATTGATAGTGAATTTTATAAAACATTTCATTTTGAGATAGTTATGTAATTCAGTTAAACTCAAATTAGTATAGGCTTATAAATCAAACTATGCAACTGATCAATAGCAACGAGAGGAGGAAAAACCCCTCATCAGTTCTTTAATTTTTAGCTGCCTTATTTAATAATGATCTTTACAAACTATTTATTCACATCTACTGTAACAAGTTTTGGAACAATTCAAATTCACTTCTTTGCTCAGTTTACTTCTAACTATAACTTTACCAGTGAACCATGATGTCCTCTGTCACTGATTCCTCCAAATATACAAGAGATAACCTTCTTAGTTTTCGATTATTCCTTGTCCCTCTTAGTAGAGATGGTAAAATGTAAATTCTTTTAAAGAAATGCCTAACTTTAATTTTGTACTTACACTTTGACTAGACTATAGCATAATTATTAAGTATAAAATAACATATAATTGAGAAAGAGTTTAATATGGCAGGCACTGCTCTGAAGCAATGTCATATACTGCTATCTTACGTAACCTTTGCAATACTGTAATATTAGCTCCAGCTTACAAATGAGGAAGGCAAAGCCAAACATACTTAGAAGCTTTCACTGAGCAGAACCAAACTTAACAGTCAGTTGGTGCCAGATCCCAAAGCCCACACACAACCTTTTCCCCTCTAGTCCTTCTATGCTGTAGTGCCTCCCTATTACTGCCAAAATGTTTGGCAAGAGTAAGCCAGATGGGACAAGAGTCAATTAGAATAATGAGCAGAGCAGGAGTGAAGTAGGAGGGGGTGACCAAGATGACTGTAGAGTTTGACTTTCTAAAACTTTGATATCCTTTAAGTATCTTAGTTGTAAAGGGCATAAACCTATAAAGCAAGTAATATTATATAGTCATTTTGCACACAACTGCCTTAAGATTTCAGTATCACCATCTCTGATGTCAGGTAATGTATAAATCTATAAACTATTCAATATATAGAAATAAAGAGGAAGCCATACTTACAATAGCCTTGAGCAGAAACCATGCCAAGAGACAAAGAGGACATATTAGTATGAAGCAAATACAGCAGCCAACAGAAGGAACGATTTAGTAATTCATAAACTAGGAAGTAAAAGATATGCCTTTTTTTTCAGAAATGTACATTTTTCTTTCTTCTATGGTCTCATCCTGTCTTGTTTTCTGGAGTTTTATATATTGTGGCTAGCTCAAATTATCCATATGACAGGATATAACAATGCTTTTCTGCTTCCATGCTAAAAACAAATGACATAAAAATAATAATAAAAATGTGCAAACCATCCTGCTCTGTCTCACTTAAGGTCACATGAAAGGACTCAGTTTTTCTGTTTTTGTTTTTTGAGACAGAGTCTCACTATGTATCCCAGGCTGGCCTTGAACTTGTGGTGATCCTCCTGCCTCAGCCTCTTGAGTGTGTTTTTAGTAACAGGCAAAAATTACGTTGCTGTTCTTTGGTGGGGACCAATTCCACCTGGCAGTTGCGTCTGGAGATGCAACACTATAGGTTAGTGAATATAAAAGAAAACATCAAAAGAAAGCTGATGGGGTGGTGGTGGTGGTGAGTCATGCATTCTGTATTGCACAATTTATTTCTCTTAAGCCATTTGCAGGAAAACTTCAAAATAGAAAATTTTTTATCTGCATCCCGACTACACATAGAAGAGAACTCAGAGGACCTTTCTGCTTAACTCACAGGAAGACATATCACATCTCAGCAGTCAACAAATTGACCAATTTATGCAAACAGTATTTCACAGGTTGGCACCTCATTTCTGAAAGATGTGCTCAAAGTAAAGGCCCACAGCCTATTTAATTAAATTTGCTACCTAACCAGGCACTTGCTCACTCTCTCTCTCTCTCTATCCCTCCCTCCCTCCCTCCACAGGGCACTTGCACTGACTATGTATTTCCAATCCATTTTTATTTTTTATTTTCAGACAGGGTCTTTGTAAGCCACTAAATTGATCAGGCTGGGCTCAAACTTGTGATCTTCCTGCCTCAGCCTCCCATAGGCATGTACCACCATGCCTGGCTATGACAAATTATTTTTAAAAAAACTTCTAGGGCTTAGGGAATAGCTTAGTGATAGAGTTTTTACCTAGCATGTGCTCCCATCTGAATCCCAGCACTATAAAAAACAAAAAATAATAAGCTCCTTTATGTTTTAAAACAAGAGAACCAAACACCATGTCATCACAGCTACACTAAATTATTTTTAAAAAAAAAAATCTTAAAGTTTTAGCAATAAGAATGAATTTTACTTCATCTCAGTTTAAGGGACCTAGAGATGTCAACAAATTAAAGAAATGTTACATCTTGTGGTACATCTCTAAGGAACTCTTAATTAGACTTAACATTTTAGTACACTCATGGTTGGTTTGTTTTACTCCTTTGTGATTTAGTGTTTTGGGTAAAACATACTTTTAAAAAGATGACACTGAGCTGGGGATATGGCTGAGTGGTAAAGCGCTTGGTTTAAGGCCCAGCACCAGAAAAAAACAACTAAACCCCCAAAATAAACAAAGGAAAAAGCCACTATAAGCCAGGTCTTTTTAACAAAGGTATAAGTAAGTTTAAAGTTGGTGCAATGATAGAAAGTGGGAATCAATTTGGAAATCTAAAAGACCACCAACACATTAATTAAGGAAGAAACTAAAATCACTAATTAGCAAGGCTACACTGCCAATATAAACTAGATTGTGTATGGAGCAAATGAAAATTAGGCTCCTTATAAACTTTTTACATTGAGTATTCAAGTTTTAAGAAATAAATTCCCCTTCTTTGGCCAATTTTGCTTTGATATCCTCTTACATTAACAATGCTGCATGGATGAATACAGTTTTGAAGTTGATTCCCCAAAATGACTGTACAAATCACACAGGTAAGTAGGTTTATTTTCAAAGGCAAGAGACCAGAAAATATTACACTACAATAGGAAAAACAAAAAAGCTAACCTGAAGCAAAGATTGGTCAATAAAATTTAGTTTTTCCCCCCTTTTCATACTAATTAAAGTTTTAAATCATAGCGCTATATTGTACGCTGCTTATTATATATGTCAAGGATTTGCCAACGACTTACACTGTTGCCAGGGACTGATAACTACCGGTTGCTCACTCAGCACTGTGACGGATGGTAAGCTGAACTGAGTAAAGACACCACTCTTGGCTGAACATATGCCGTATTTCAGTGGGAGCTTGCCAACCATGTAGGCAGAGCTATGACAGGGAAATGCAACATGCAGAACACTAAAGGGACAAAAAGGCTGAGAATGGCAGCATACTCCTCCAACCCCAACTATTCAGGAGGCAGAGGCTGAAAGATTCCAAGTTCTAGGACAGCCTGGGCAACTCAGGGAGCCGCTACTTCAAAACAAAAATAAAGAAAGGAATGGGGATATAGCTCAGTGACAGAGTGCTTGCCTAGTATCTAGGAGGCCCTGAGATTCTAGGGATAGCATTATTTTCTTTGCCTTTTCCCCTACTTTTCTTTTGTGGTACTGGAGATTGAACCCAGGGCCTTTGCACTGAGCTACATGGCCATCCTATTGAAAATATTTTAAAATTTGGACACAGAGCTATCCTAAATCACCCAGATTGGGCTCAAAGTTGCAATCCTCCTGCCTCAGCTTTCCACAGTGCTAGAATTACACACCTGGCTAGGATTATTTTCTTAAATATTAAGTTTACATTACAAAAAAAAAATGTTTACTTGAACAAGCTTCCTTTCTTTTCCTTTTTGACCAGAGGGTAGAAAGCCTACACTTCACCTCTGATACTAAGTCAAGCCCATTTAAAGCATAGAGCTTCAGATGAACTTTTTCTTAATAAGTACAGATTTCTATTCCTAGCAGAATGAATCTGAAAGGCAATAAAATACTGTCTGATCCTTTTTGTAAGGAATGTTAGAAGGAAAACATTATTTCTTTTCTATAATTAGTATAATGCTACATTATTTTGATAAAGATTATCAAATAAAAAATGTTATAGGTTTTCCCAAAACTGAAACTTTTGGACTATGGCTGGTAGGTATAAAAACTTACATCTTCTGCTTTTGAGCCTTGATCCTGTAAAGATTTCTGTAGTTCTTCAACTTGTGACTGTACTTCCAAAAGTCTTTGATTCACCAGTCTAAAATACAAATGTACATTAATTTTCCAAGTACAGACTTATTTATGTCTTTTTTCCTTTGACTGTCATATTGGTTACACAGCGAACACCATTCACAGACTGAAGCCCACATTATAGTAATAGTATATAGTAGCAGTAGTATAGTAGGAGCCTCACATTGTAAGTAAGCTTACTTTCCATATTATCTTTGTATTGTTTGAGGGTTTTTTTTTTCCCAAACATAAACCTCCCTATATTAAGCTGAATTTAAAAAACTCCACAAAATCCAGTATCAAAAAGTGAATATAGGTAAGTAAGAAAGAAGAGCATATTGGAAGGGCACGCTAAGTTTCCCACAACTTACGATGCCCCAAGATCACAGCAGAGAGAAGCAACTGGCCCCGGGCGCACAGGTTGTGTGTCACTGGAGTGGGGGTCCCAGTGCCAGCTGTCATGAATGCCTAAGGCCTGTTCTGCCCCTGAGGATGCTGCCCCTGAGGACAGGGCTCTGGCTGACTGAACAGGCTATAGCTTCTGCTGCTATCACTTCTTCTGAGCTTTCCGGAGTTCATTTTTAGGGCGGGCCAATGTGGAAGTCTTCACTGGGTATGTCACCTTGGGCATGTGGCTTGGCCTCCCTCAGCCTGTTCCTCATCTACAAAGTTTGGTAGAAATTATGTCAGTGTTTCCTGAGGGGCTTGAAATTCTAACAAGGATTTCTAAAATAGTCTTTTTTTCAAAGACTATTTGGAAATCAGTGTGTCATTTATTTATCTGAAATTCACCTTGATATGTTTATGCAAACTATGTCTGGCACTGTGCACTCCAGTGGAGTGGCAGGAGGTCAAGAAGAGAACACAATGAGCTTACTACTTCAGGAGAGTGCACTAGGATATACAAAACAAATGAGTAGTTAAGAACTCAGTGCAGGAGTTAAGATAGGCATGGCTTGAAGTGAGACTAAAACAATAAACAAAATATTTACATGGTGAAGGGTAGAAAAAGGATTCAAAACAGTTCAGTATGTCCAAAAATGCACAGTAAAATGAGAGGGTACAGTGTTCAAGAATGGGATGACTACAAAGTAAGTTCTGAGGGGAAGGCTGAAACTGGAGGAGAAAAGGAGCAAATCTCACTGGATCTGCTCCATCTGCATTTTGTATGAAATGCCAGGTATGTGGAATTTATTCTGCAATCAATAATCCTCTAAATTGACTGAAACTTTAATAATTACGACTCTAAGCTTCATAATTTTTCTGGCTCATTATGATGCACGCTTCAGTAACACAGTCTGGTTCTCTAGTCTTGGGTAACAGCAAAGAACTCCAAGAAAGAGAAAACATGATCAGAAAGTATTTTAGAAAGATCATATTGGTTTTAGAGTGGGAGATGTGGGAGACATTATTAAAAGGGCAAAAGAGCAGGCATAAATATTGGAAGGACACTGTTATTATTACTGGATATATCTAAAATATAAGGGAACATGTAAAGTTTTAAGAAAAGGCAAAAGAAAACAAGAAATCAAAAATAATAGCATGGTTTTGGGTATTCACTCAGAAAGACAAGAGGAACAAGTTAAAAAGGTGAATATGAAGTATCTGATTTTGTATTTGCTGAAGATGAAGTGCTCAAAAGTCTGTCAAATAACAAAATGTATGGACCCGAAACGTAGAAATGTCTCAGTTGAGCATACATACACATTTCTGAACCATTTGGAGTTAACTGAAGTCATGAACATGAATGATACTATTTAGGAAGAATGCAAAACAGAGTATAAATGTGGAATAAAGATGGCCCACAGCAGATCCTTAAGGGAAGAGAAACCTCACTGTGAAGAAAAATCAGAGAATTAGAAGAAATAAGAGTGGAATGTTTAAAAAAGGTAGTCTTGGACTTCCCACTAGACTGGTCATTTAAGAGATGATGGGCCATTTGATTACCAGATGTGCTAGTGGGATGATAGCAGTAAAAGCCATATAATCTCAAATTAAAGATAAAAGGACACTGGGTATCAGAATCCAAACAGCCAGAAAATTCAGTAAAAATTTTTTTTAACTCAATAAGTTTTAATAAATTATTTGAAAATCCACATCAGTATGGGAACATAAGTTCACAAACACATTCTAGTGACACGGTAACTTTGTTCAGTCTGTTCACAATACAGTTTGGAAATATGCATCAAGCTCTAAGACTATTTTAATTATACAGTACATTTTTGCTACTCTGAGATTTTTTTATCAACTAACACTGAATGTCTACTATGTAGAACCCACTGTAAATATAAAACACAGTCTACATCAAGGTATCTCTTGGGAGATTTGAAAATAGTGCAAATGGGATAGGACAAGTAAGCAAAGTAATGTAACTGCTGAAGTGTGACGCATGTGAGCAACACAAATATGCACAGATATTACACTCTGTGAAGTAAGACAAGATCCTGCATCCTTTGAGAAAGCTTCCTGGGCAATTCTGACATGGCTGTACTTCTAATGCTTTGTCTTTCTCCTCATGTTTTCTGAACAGTTGGTATTACAGAATTTAAAACATGTTAACTCAATGGGAAGACTAACCAGAAAAGAATTTGGTCTACTACAAACTGCCTTCTCACAGATGATATATAGATGATATATAAATTGTACTTATGGTTAAAAGACTCAGTGAGACTAAAACTTAGGGTTCCCAGTGCTAAGTTCAGTGCCATAATCTATTAGGGAACTAACTTAGAGACAAGGTAAGTATTCCTAAAACCCAGGAAGAACAAACATATGATAATTTACTTAAGAGAAAAAGCATCCTATGAGACAAAGTCAGAAAACAACCATCAATGTTTTGCAAACATGGCAGAAGATAAACTGGCAAGACAGGGAGTATGGGTTAGATAGAGGCTTTGGAGTCACAGTCTGAATCCCCTCATCTGTAAAACCTCTATAAATGTAAGCGAGACAAGATATATAAAACATGTAGCACAATGCCTGGAACAAACAGGTGCTTAATAGGTATTAACTGTTATAGATCACTGGTGGTCATAACCTAATGGTCACTTGTCATCAATGTTGTAATAAAGAAACAAACAACACTAAGTTGTAAACAGCTATAAGTAACAGGATCTTGGAAGATAATCAGTTATCTACACACATGAGCACAGTGTAAATAGTAAGCAGCTCTCTTGTTTCTTACGAGGAAGGAGCCATGCCTGAAAAACTCAAGAGAAACAAAGCAAAGCATTATGAAAGAAATTATGGGTGGTTTTTTTTGTTTTTGTTTTTGTTTTTTCTCTGGTACCGGGAACCGAACTCATGACCTTGCGCTTGCCAGGCAGGCGCTTTGCCGCTGAGCTAAATCCCCAGCCAATTATGGGTGTTTATTAAGGTAAGAAGCAGGTGTTCTTACCATGATGGCTCAGGATTAATGAAGCAGATACAAGACTCTTTCACTATAGGCACAGACAGACTACCAGCTGTTCTCTCCCATCTTCCTCTACTATCTCCATTTCTACTTTTTCTAAATAATAGAGACACTTATTCTCCATGTTCCTAAGAGTTTATGTAAAAATGTTTTCCTGTTTATGCTTAATAAAGTACTTTTTCCTGTTTATGCTTACTAAAGTACTTTTATACTCTGCATTATACAAGTTTACACTGGTTCCTTATTCTTCCTGACCAGCTTTAAAATTTAAAGCTATAAGGGGCTGGGGATTTAGCTCAGCGGCAAAAGCGCCTGCCTGGCAAGCGCAAGGTCGTGAGTTCGGTTCCCGGTACCAGAGAAAAACCAAAACCAAAAAAAAAAAAAAATAATAAAAAAAAAAAATTTAAAGCTATAGAAAGAAGGGTAGGATATGTACACTTGATCTTAGCCAAAAGGCCGAGAAGCAATAAGGTAGGATATGCAAAACTTGTAATTTTGACTCGTAACAATGATTCCAAAGCTTCCGTATACGAGAAATGCCAAATCAATGAGACACAAAAAACACTGTAGTAAAAAGCAAAACAATGGAGTGGCTGTGGGGAAAAAGGAACCCTTCTCCACTGCTGGTGAGAGTCCAGACTGGTGAAACCACTGTGGAAATCAGTGTGGAGATTCCTCAGAAAACTAGGATTAGAAGTTCCATTTAACCCAGCTATTCCCCTGCTGGGTATTTTCCCAGAAGTAAAAACATCATACTATAGTGATATACGTGCACCCATGTTTATAGCAGCACATTTGTCATACCTAAATCTTGGAAACAACCCAAATGCTCATCAACTGAAGAATGGATAAAAAAGATGGGTATTTTTATACAATAGCATATTTTTTACACTCAGCTATAAAAAAAGATAAACTCGAGGCTTTTATAGGTAAAGGGATGCAACTAGAGACCATACTCATAAGTGAAATCAGACCCACATGTGTAAACATCGTATTGTCTCCCTAGTATAATAACCTGAAAGAGTAAATAAAACACAAAACGTACAATAGATATGAAATGAAAAGAAATTGCTCAAAAGAAGGAACAACAAAGAAGGTAGGGGAAAAAATATATATGGATAGCAGGGATAATTGTACTGTTGATGTCTAATGGTTTATTGAAAAAAACAGTTAATGCTTAATATCTCTGACCAATTTTGCATGCTTATATCTGATAATCTGAACAACTAATTTGAAGACAACAATATGCAATAAAATAACCATTGTTGAATTTCTACCATCTTGTTTAGTGAAGCTCTGTATCATTTCTAATGTTTTTTTAAATTATTTTTTATTCTCTTTAATTGTTTGATCAACGTTGTATTCTTACATCTGGTAATCTGAGCAACTTTGTTGAAGACAACAATATGTAATATAACAACCAATGTTAATTCCTATCATTTTATTTTGAAAAAAATTTCCAAAAAGGAACCAAATACTATTACAACACAAGAGAAAAGTAATTCTTGTCTGAAGAAGCTAGAGATTTGAAAGTAACTGACTTCTAGCAGGCTATTAAACCAACACAAAAATCAGTAGCCTTCTGTACAAAAATAATGAACCTATTGAGAAAGAAATTCGGGAAACAATTCAATGCATGATAGATTAAACAAAAAATTAAGACTCCAAAGGAGAAAACTTGAAGACGACATTAGAAAATAGAAAACTATCCAGTCTTTCTCAACAGGCAGAATCAATATTATCAAAATGGCTAAATTACCAAAAGCAATCTATAGATTCAATGTAGTCCATACCAAAATGACAACATTACTCACAAAACAAGAAAAAAAACACTAAAGCTTATATGGAACTTGAAGAGATCCATAATAGCCAAAGCAACCTTGAACAAAACGAGTAAAGCAGGAGGCATCACAATGTTGAATTTCAAATTATACTACACAGCTTTAGTAACAAAAACAGGACGACAGTGGTATAAAAACAGACATGTCTGTTTAGATAGTGGTATAAAAACAGACAACATTATTCAGACCAGGTGAATAGAACATAAAAACACAGAAACAAACTCAAATGAGGGAAAGGAGAAAAAGAAAGAAAGAAGGAAGGGAAAATATATACATGGATACATAAGGATATCTGGGATAACTGTACTGCTGATGTCTAATGGTTTACTGAAAGGAACAGTTAATGCTTTATTTATTTATTTTTGACCAATTTTGCATGCTTATATCTGATTATCTGAATTTGAAGACAACAATATGCAATATAACAACCATTGCTGAATTCCTATCATCTTGTTTAGTGAAACTCTGTATCATTCATAATTTTTTTGTTTTTATTTTTTATTCTCTTTAATGGTATGATCAATCTTGCATTCTTACATCTGGTAATCTGACCAACTTTAATGAAGATAAAAATATGTAATAGAACAACCACTGTTAATCCCTATCATTTTGTTCTGAAACCCTGTATCATTCTTATTGTTTTTGCTTTGTTTTGTTTTTGTGTATGTTCTTGGCATTTTGCTATTGTTTTTCTTTTTAAAATTCTCTTTAAAATTAAAATAAAAAAAACAATCCCAAGCACCTTCAGCCATCTGATTTTTGACAAAGGAGCCAAAAACATATGTAGAAAATATAATTTCTTTTTAAGAAACTGCACGGGGATAACTGATTGTAAAACACTGAAACTAGATCCTTATCTTCTACCCATTACTAAAATAAAAACCAAAATGTGTTGAACAATACAGACATAAAAACAAAAATGTTGAAAAATGAGGAAACACTTGAAGCCACTGGCACAGGCAAGGACTTCCTGACCAGAACCCTCCTTGCACAGGACATACCCAGAGTCACCTAATGGGATCACATTAAATTAAAAAGCATCTGCACAGCAAAGGAAACAACCAAGAGAGTGAAGAGACAACCTACAGAATAGGAAAAACATAATGCTGGGAGGTCTTCTCATAGAGATTTTATTTCTAGAATATATAGAGAACTCTAAAACATTAACCCTCCCCAATGACTCAATCAAAAATAGGCAAATGAAATGAATAAGCAAAGACAAATGGCCAATAAGTACATGAACAAATGTCCATCATCTTCAGCAACTAGGGAAATGCTAACAAATACAATTCTGAGAATGTATCATATGCCAGCCAGAATGACTATCATCAAGGATATAAACAACAAATGCTGTCAAGGTTGTGGAGAAAAGGAATCCTTCTACATTTTGGTGGGAAAGTAAACTAGCACAACCACTATAGAAATGAATATGGAGGTTTCTAAAAAATAAAAATAGAAATTTCATTTGACCCAGCTATACCTCTCTTTGGTATATTCTGAAAAGAATTAAAGATATCATGCTACAGTGATACACACATACCCATGTTTATAGCAACACAATTCAAAATAGCTAAGTTCTGGAAATAGCCTAGACACCCATCAACAGAAGAATGGATTTTTAAAAAGTGGTATAAATATACAATAAAATATTACTCTGCTATAAAGAAGAACAAAAGCATGTCATTTGCAGGATAATAGGTAGAACTTGAGATCATAATGTTAAGTGTAATAATAAGTCAGACACAGAAATCTAAGTATCTCAAGGTTTCTCTTATATGAGAAAACTAACATGTATTTATAAATAAAGAAAATAATAAAATAAAGAAGAAATGGTAAGAAACTAAAAGGCAGATTTATTCAGGACAGGGAAGGGGATTAAAAGGAAGCAATGGGTAAAGGGATTGAAAACGATCAAAATATGTTACATACATGTATCAATTCGTCAATATAACTATTATGTATTGTAAACATACACTAATAATAAAGAACAAAAAAGTATCTGACTTTAACGACCATATGACACACTGCACCAAAAAACTTCCAAGCAAGAAAATGATTTTGTTGTTAATTTACAGATTGTAAGTTCTCAAAATAATTGAACTGCTCATAAGAGGAATGATTTCTTTCAGGGTTAAGATAAGTAATAGATTAAGGGAGAAAAGTACTTTTGTCAGTTCAACCACACACACGGGGTTGAATCTGTAGCCTGTGAAAACACAGTAAATTACAAGAACCTGATCACACAATATGAATTGCAATTGTTGTAAAATACTGAATTTATAATCTGATTTTTTAATTCTACTTCTAATTAGTGACTAGAAAGGGTAAATGGTGGCATTTTAGCTTCACTTTGCTTGAAAAACATCAAGATGGTGATATTGGTATAAACAGGCACCATACTTTTTGGCAAGTCTGTGCAAAGGCAGAGATGTGAGTTAAAGTACTTTTAAAAGGAAATACAACATGAGAACATTCCAAAATATAAAACCTTTCTCTAAGGGAATCAAAATCAGGCAAATGGGCAATCTGTGGCTAGATGCCACCACCTGCACACACCCTACCTGTTCTCTGTCTCCAGTTCATTCTTGCGTAGATTTGCATCATCTAGGAGGCTCTGCAATAAGGCAATTTTTTCATTGTCGGAACCTTCTTGGTTAATTTTTAACATCTTATTCTCATGCTGAAGACGAATAAGTTTCTCCCTGAATAAGCAAAATGAAAACATTATCTGGCACATCAATATAGGTATTAAAGTCCAGTCATGCATAGTTAGATTAAATAAAAAGAATAGAAAGGAGAAAGTATCAGCAATGAATTCTCCTTTATAAACTGCTAAGACATTACATTTCAGGTATTAAATTCTTTTTTAGAATGGATAACCTACAGACAATAGTATCTATATGTCATGATTTATAAAGAAGGAAATTTTAATCCTACTTCCCTCCTGATTTAAATATTTACGCTATGAATGAATGAATGTATTTTTCTTCTTATAAGAAAACAAGATTTCTAAAATTATGCTCTTCTGTTTATCAATTATTTGGTGGCAAGACGTATTCAGTGAGAACTGTCTTTAAGCTATTCAGAGCCAAGCATGATGATACACACTGGTAGTCCCAGCACTTGGAAGGCTGAGGGATTATTGCCCTGAGTTTGAAGCTAGCCTGGGCTATACAGTGAGTTCAAGGATAGCCTTGAGACCCTGTCTCAAAAACCAGAAAACAAAGTTAAAAAAATGAAAACCAAAAGAGATTCAGAATATCCATTCCTATAGTTATGTTAAACTGTATCCTTATAACAAGTCCAATTATTAGAGTCAGGTTATTGAACCTGTTTTGGATTCTTTGTGCAATGCCAAAATGCTGTATGAAGGGATGTTAAAAGCAAGCAACACACAGAATTTGGCATCACACTGATTACAAGGAGGCTATAACAGAATATCAGTGCTAGGAAGACATATTTATTAAAAATTCTTTACACAGGGCCATCTTTAGAGGGCTCCATGAAGATAGCAGTACCAGATACTAGATACTGTACTATGAAAAACTATGCTTCTCATAAAAAAAATCAGAATAAGAAGCATATACTTAAAAAGAAGAGTTCTTATTTTGTAAGCACCATACACGCCCCTTTGGAGCCAATGTCTTGTTATATATTCCAGGCTGGCCTTTAGCTAACTATACCTGAGGCTATCCTCAAACTTGGGGCAGTCCTCTTGCCTCAGCCTCCAAAGTGCTGGGATCACAGGTGTGTCACCACACCCAGCTTAAATACCATAAATCTTACAAAACATTTTTACTTTGCTATTGAAAGATTAGCCGAATCTGTGATTCAATTCAAGAAATTACATAGAAAGCGACATATTTTTTAAGTGGGCAATACTGATGACATTTCTTCCAATTACAAAGTAAATATACTCATTGTAGGGGAAAAAGTATAAATGAAAAAATAATAGTCCATCACTCTATCGTGAAAAATAACTACCACTGAAATACAGCCTTCTAGTGATATGCATAGATATATACATGTAATCACCTTTTTTCTGTGGTACTGGAGACTGACCCCAGGGCCTTCATGCTGATCTACATTGCCAATCTTTTCTAAAATTTTGAGACACAGTCTTACTAAGTCGCTACACTGCCCACGCTGGACTTAAAATGGTGATTTTCCTGCCTTAGTTTCCCAAGTGCTGGGATTACACACATTCACCACCACACTTGACTGCACGCACCTATTAAAACAGTGTGCTCACATGTTCATACTGTACTGGTATCTGCTATTTACACTTAAAAGTTTCATAATTTTTTCATATTGTTAAGTTTACTTGGAAGGCCTGGTCCCCTGTGCAGAAGTGTTCCGAGGGCTCTGCTAGTGTCAATGGTCAACCCATTTACCCATTCATAGCCTAATGGGGAGTTGTCAGGAGATGGGAACTTCAGGAGGTGGGCCCTGGCTGGCGGAAGTAGGTCATGAGAAGTGTACATGAAGGGTGTATCGTCTCTGGTCCTTGCCTTTCTTTTTGTTTCCCAGACAGACACCATGGGGTAAGCAGCCCTTCTCCACCATGTGCTCTTGGCCATGATGTTCTGCTTCGTTCCAGGCCAAGTAAATGAGGACAAGTGACCATGGAATAACACCTCAGAAACCATGCGCAAAATAAACTTTTTTTTCTTTAAATTGTTTATCTCAGGTATTTTGCCACAGTAAATATTAGCAGGCTAAACTAACACATTTAATTACTGGGCATTTAGATCATCAATTTTGAACTTTGCAGGTCAATAATCAGCTTTGTAAATATATCTTTGTGTCTATCCTTGGCTGTTGCCTTAGCATTTATCCCAACAGTTTTTTTTTAATTTGTTTTGGTTAAAAGGTACATTTTTAGACCACAGATGTACTCAGCTAATTGTCTTAAAAGACAAGTGGTACTACTTTAATCTTTATCCCTAGTTTGAGGATTTAGATTTCTCAACACATTTTTTTTAAAAGATAGGGTTTCACTATGCAGTTGAGGCAGGCCTTGAACCAACTACAGAGCCCAGGTTGGCCTCGAACTCACGGCCATCCTCCTGCCTCAGCCGCCCGAGTGCTGGGATTACAGGTGTGCACCACCACACCTGGTATTTTCTCAACACTCCTAACATTAATAAGTAACGAACACTGACCCCTGTTCATCCTCTTTTATTATTTCATTTTCTTGACAACTTTATGGAGGATATTTTAATTTGTACCTAGTCATAAATGGAAAAGTCACACTTATGAATCTTAGTTTAGAAAGAACTTGTTCTTAGTCTGGAAAGCTAACTACATAGCAATTAGCTTCCTTAAAAACTGTTTTCTTGGGGCTGGGGATGTAGCTCAGCAGCACAGTGCCTGTCTGGCAAGAGCAAGGTCCTGAGTTCAATACCCAGTACCAAAAAAAAAATTGCTTTGGCGGGGGGGGGGGGGGTTATAGCATTTATTTATTTATAAGTATGCAAAAATAATGAATGTTCATTTATTCAAATAATTGTATTGGCTCAATTATAAACTAGCATATGAGATGTCAGAAAAGTAAAAGGTATATGAGATGCATTCAGATGCAACATTGCATTATACTCCCCTTTGTTCATATTTCTTTAATAAATGCCATCAAGTAACAGTTACCTTCATTTATTTAATGAGCATTTGAATGCTTATTTTTACTTTTATAGTTTATAAAACTCTTATACAATCATTATTCCATTTAACACTCCCACAAATAATGTGAAGAATCAAGGTCAATGTCCATTTTTTAAAGGGGTAAATAGGTCCAAAAAAGGTAAAAACAATAGTCAGGGTTAATCATCCTCTGTTGGGTACACTCAGTATTCTCCCCAACCTCATTTTTCATTCATGTACCAAAATAATAGCATATTAAAAATGTTCTGACTAAATAAAAAAGCTAAGGTATTATTGAGAGAAGAACAACTACAGATGAGGAGGGGCCTCCTAGTTATAGCAGCAATATACCTTTCTCAGACCATTCCAAATATTTAGCAGATAAATCTTAGTAGTGGATTGCTTTGCAGGCTCATAGCTAAGCATAACCTTTGTCTTTGGGCTGTTATCTACTGCTAAATGTTTGCTGGGGCTAGCCAAGCAACAGAGGTATCAGTGTGCTTTGCATACGTGCTATGAGAAAAGTCAGTTCTCTGCTAGACCAGCTGAAGCAAGCTGGTAACATGTGGGAATTTAACCCTGTGTTCACGGTGACAGTGTCAGTACTAGAAAGGAATTGGTGCTCTTCACACTACAGAGGACAACTATCCAGGAAGACCATGCAGTGAGGCTCTTTACCTGATTTCAGGTGTAACAATCTCTGCTGCCAGGCTGTCTGAAGATTCCTGACTGCCCAGGGGCATGAACCCTACAAACACAGAGACATAAATGCAAGATTAACAGAAAGCACAACTATCTCCTTTAATAAAGTGATACAATTCCTGCAGGTAACACTTAAAAATAACAATTTTTCTGACGGAAAAGACTGTCACAGTCTTCATAAGATTATCTTCAACATTTATATGCAGCATTAAGAATATTTATAATGTTGCATAATCATTGCCACCATCTATTTTCAAAGCTTTTCGTTACCTACTTGGAAAGTGTAACTATTAGGCCAAAACTGTCCATTCCACCTTCCCCTGCTCCCCAGTAACTTCTACTTTCATTTCAACCATGTGCCCATTCTAGATACCTTATGTAAGAGGAATAATATAATATTAACAATGAACATTGTGAAAATTAAATTACAGTGGTGTCTTTCATTGTTTAGACAATATTCCTGATGCCCAGAATTAAGGGGAAAGGTTTATACAGCTCACAGTTTGTGGAGGTTTCAATTCATACATGGCTGGCTCCAAGGCAGAGTGGCATGTGGCAGAGGGCAACAGTTCATGGTGGTGGAAAACAGTAAAAGCAGCAAGGGCAAAAAGGGAAGAGGAGCAGAAAGAGCAAGCCTCCTTCCCTCCTTTATATTATATGCAGACTACCTGCCCTAGGGTGGGTGCAGCACTCACATCCATAACTCCAGCATTGGACCATGAATCAATCAAAAATTCTAAAAGCCCACCCCATGACTACGTGAAGCTTTGGAGAGACATCTAGACACAAACCATAACAAATGGTATAAGAGATACTGGAGTCTGGATGTAGAGCTCAGAGCACTTGCCTAGTGTGAGTGAGGCCGTTAGTGCCGTCTTCAACACCACAAAAGAAAAGACACCACTATAATTTAATTTTCATAATGTTCATTGTTAATATACAGAAACAAATCCCAAGCTCTGCAAGAAAAAGACAAGCGCGCGTGCGCGCACACACACACACACACACGCGCGCGCACACACACGCACAGCTAGATCTGTTGACACCATGCTGAATGGCAGTGACAAAGTAAACATCTTTGCCTTATATGATCTGAGAGGAAAAGTACTCAGTGTTCATCATTAAATATAAGATTAGCTATATGTTTTTCATAGATACCCTTTACTAGAGACTGAGAAAGTTTCTTTCAGTTCCTAGTTTGCTGAGTGAGTTTATCAAGAATGGTATCACCTACTTTCCTAACTTAATGATACACACATCTGCCCAAGGCAGACATACACAGATGAATGAGAATGCCATTCCTGCAGTGCTTAACTTTCAGACTGTTTCAAAATTCATTATTTCAAATAATTCCTTAAATCATTAAGGTAAATTTCTGGTGCAAAACTACTGCTCAAAAGATACATATACTGCTGGGCATGGTGGCACATGCCCACAATCTCAGTACTTGGAAGGCTAAGGCAGGAAGAACACTGTGAGTTTGAGGCCAGCCTGTGCTACACAGTGAGTTCTTTTTATATATGTATTTTTTATTTTAAAGAGAATAGTAAGTGAGACACAAACAAACAAAAAATAGAATAATAGCAGCATACCAGTATCACAAACATAAGCAAACCAAAGCAAGAACATTTAAAATGATACAGGGTTTCAAGGCAAAATAATACGAATTAACAGTGGTGGTTACAGTACATATCACTATCCTCAACTATGTTGCTCACATTACCAGATGTAAGAATGGAAGATTGTTCAAACCATTAAAGAGAATAGGCCAGCCTGGACTACAAAGTAAGACCCTATCTCAAAAGAAAAGAAAAAAAAGGTATGTACATAAGGTTAAAACACAGGTGGTTTTAGGTAGCAAGAAATAAATGTGAGTTTTCTGCCTTTTCTTGACAAAATAGGAGCTAAGAGCAAAAATGTTATAAGGGTCAGTTTAGACCCTTAAAATTTTGGAAAAAACTTATATAGACCTGATTACAGACAAATGAAATTAACACCAGGGAGCAATGAGGATTCAATTATAACAAGAAGTGTGCATTTTTGGTAAAGATAATCAAAGAAGATATAATTTTCTTTCACTGGCTTTAGTAATTTGGGATAGAGAGAAAATCTTTAGGCTAGATGAATTGGGTTTTTTTTTTTTTTTTTTTGGTTTTTCGGTTTTTCTCCGGTACCGGGAACCGAACTCACGACCTTGCGCTTGCCAGGCAGGCGCTTTGCCGCTGAGCTAAATCCCCAGCCCCCTGAATTGGGTTTTGACATATTTGGTCTAGAAACAAGTCAAAAGGATGAGGAAAGGCAGCATCATGAGAACACAGTAAAATGATATGCAGACTGGGTAAGCAAGAAGATAAGGCCAGGAGAGAGCTGGCTTCAAAGAGAAAGCTGGAAACTGGAAAGAGAGAGATGAGCAAGTTTTTAGAAAGCATGCTGAGGAGGAAATAGAGGCTGTGGTCACAGAAAAGGAGAACTCCAGTTTCAGGTAACTGCAAACCCGTGGGCTGCTTACTGGTGTGGGAGTGAAAGACTACAGGTGTGCAAGTCACCAATCAATTCCCCCAGTGCCCAACATGAGGACAATGCGGCAGGCACACCTCATCTTCAGTGGTGATCTTGCCCTGTGATGAAGAATAGTTTTTGGATCTAAGTCTCTGAATGTATTAAAAGCCACTCCATTTTTCTTATGTGAAAAAAGCCTGACTAATTTAGAAAGCTTAATATATTTTAAAAGTGATCCTGAGAGGCTTTTCAGAATACAATTTTCTACCTTAAAAAAGGTAAATTAATAAATGCATTTCATCTAATAAAACTCAAATGTTTATGTGTTTGTTTTATAAGGTTGGCAAGTAAATCTAGTCCAAAAACTATAATCTGTGTGTCATAATATCTGGGAAACAGCTAAAAAATTTTATTGCCTCTAATTTTTCATTTTTATCTATTAAGGCGATCATCTCAAAGTAACCCTTATGCTTGCAATGATCTCAGAAATAAAGCATGTTTGGGCTACTAAAATGTTTTACCTTGAGCTGTCAGCTGCCCTTCTTGAGCCTGTACACAACGAAGCTCTTCAATGGTTTCTTTCAGCGAGTCCCTTTCTGTTCTTAACCTCTGACAGACACCAAGACAAGGAAGATTAGCTTCAAGTTTTATGAATATATTCACCTGCGTTCTTTGCCTTAGCTAATAAAATGACAAATAACAGTGAACACGAGTATGTTTTACCTTTTGATCTTTTATGGAAAGATTACAGAAGGAGAAAAAGACATTTTTTCTTTAACTTAACATCAGTGAACAAGGTAATACGTTATCCATAGTCAAACATAAGCAAAAAAGCTATCTACTACATCCTTAACATGGTTCTTATTAAACATAAAAGATGAAAGGATAAAATGAAATATTCCAAACCACAGAGCAAAAAAAAAAAAAAAAAAACAACTTGAAAAGATCCAAAATATACTCAACAAGAAGTATCCTCTATATTAATCCTCCAGCAAACAAAAGGGCTACCTAAACTTACAGAAAGTAAAGAATACAACAATGTAAAAATAGTAGGAATAGAAAAGATAAACGTATTAAAAAGTTCAGAATGCAAGTACAAATGTTTCATCCCATCTTTTATTTTAGATATATTTCTAAAGTAAATGGAAATTAATTTGAAAATGAATAGAATCTCTAATTTTCTAAATTTTCATAGATGACCTTAATGTAGTCAAAACATGAGTTAATATTAGTCTTAATCTTAACAGCATTGAAAACCAAAAGGTCTAACACATATAAAGTACTCACATCCTTTTCTTTTTGAAGACTGTCAACTTTTTCCTTTAGACGTTTATATTCAAAATCTAATTTATCTGCTTTCTTTGATTCTTCAGATAATCTATTTTGTAGTTCTACTACCTGGTACAGAAAGATAATGTTAAGTTTTATAATTTGAAACATTAGAAATTATCCTATGGGAGCTAGGAGTTTAGCTTAGGGGTAGAACATGTATACAAAGTCCTGGGCTTTTATCACCAGCACTGCTCCTCTTCCCGATAAATAATCTTATTTTCTTCTGTAGGTCTATGAAGACATCTTCCTTATCAATACTCAAATAAATGAATATAATCCACCAGCTTAATACAATGGAGAGAACTAAGAATCAAAATCTGCCTAGATACCACAGGTTCCTAAACCAGAATCACTAGAGTAACAACATTAAAACTATAAATCTGTAGAACTTTCTTTTTCAACAATACAGAGAAGTGGGTAGTCTGAAAATCTTTCAATATTAAAAAGAGAAACAGAGAGAAAAGGGAGGAAGTGAGGAAAAGAGGAAGAGAAGGAAGAGGAGAGAGGAGGGAATGGAAGGGAAGGAAAGGAGGGAAGGAGACAGGGAGCAGATCCTAGGACAGGGAAATCCAATCACACAGCTAGGGTCAAAAGAGGTTAAAACCAAAGTGGGAGATGAGGTTCCCTCAGGAGTTATGGGTGCCATGAGAGACCAACTACCCTTAACAGGAACCTTGAGCTCTGAGTCAACAGGAGTCAAGTGGGTATTAAACCTCCTTGGGATATAAAAGATGATGAGGCAGTAAACAGGTGGGTTAGGGGAAAAACCCATCAGCTACCAAGATAAATTTGGTTTCAAAGAGCCTAACTTGGAAACCTGTACCCGTCAGTTAATGGATTTGTGTTTGAACTTTCATTACTCTTCTTGTCCAAGAAAACCTAAACCAAGCAATTAAAGTGGTCCTGGTTGGTGGTGGTGTAGAAAATTTGTCTTAAGCAAACACATATTGTCTGGTCAAACCAAATCTCAATTCAGTACCACCAGGGTTCCACAAGATAAAGATGAGCCAATGTCAAAATGACAGGCCACAATTTTAAATAGGCATAATAAACAAAAATCACCATTAAACATAATAGTATCAGCAAAATAGAGGAATAATAGCTTCAAAAATTTCAAATTGGAATTATACAAAACATATATTCTAGGTTTAATACTTAAAAAATAAATAAATCTAAATTATAAAAATAAAAGACCAGAAAGAATGACCAGAGAGGTTTTAAAGAAGGCACAAAGAAAACCCACAGAAAAAAAAATTTTAGAAATATTATCATAAAAAAGTATATTAAGCACCAGATCAGAAACAGTGTATTATGCACTTTCATGAGTTATTTCTACATATAGGTTTCTTTCTAATTCTCAATCTGATTAGTTCTGAAAAACATTTAATCATCTTTTCCTCCATACAGTGCTTTTCTTGCTGGGCTAGGAGCATGGCCTATAGTCCAACTATTTGGAAGGCTGAGGCAGGAGGATCACAAGAAAAGAAAAAAAAGAAGGATGGGAGTGTGGGTGGGTGGCAGGCAAGTGGGGATGTAAATCAGCACTCAGAACCACAAAAAATATTTTCTTCTAATCAATTCTTTCTGTTTTCTCCTCAGGAACAATAATTAGATAATTCCTCATTTTATAATGTAACAGTTTTTTTCAGACTGTATTTTAGGTAAATTATCATGACATATTCAAATTCATTAAATCTTTCAATTTTGCTGTAAATTTAAAAATTTTACTCTGAAGTACTGAAAACACACCTCCATTGAAAAGCTTGGCAGCCATTCATGATATTTGTTCAGGGCTGCTGTACTAAAACATCAAGAATCAGAAACTTGCAGTTTTACAGAAATTCTTTCTGAGAATGGTAAAAGAGAAACCACTCTCCATCTGAGTTAATGGAGGTAGTGTACGTTCCAGACCAACACAAGGTAAGGAAGGCATATAAGGTAGCAAACTGCAAGTGAGTTATAGGGGCAAAATATTCTAAATAAAATGGGTGTGGTGGCACACATGTGTAATCCCAGTTAACTGGCAGGCTGAGACAGGAGGACTGCCAGTTGAGGCCGGCCTGAGCAACTTGGGGAGACCTTGCCTCAAAATAAAAAAAGAAAAAGGATGTAGCTCAGCGGTGGATCACCTTGGTTCAGTCCCTAGTAACACACACTCTCTCTCTCTCTCTCTCTCTCTCTCTCTCTCTCTCTCTCTCTCTCTCACACACACACACACACACACACACACACACACACACACAAACACTCCTAAAAATTTGAAAGTAACAAATGAATACATTGTCACCAGGCTAAATTTGTTTTAGGACTGTAAAGATGGTGTTATGGTTGAAACATTGTGTCAACTTGGAGAATCTAGAGGTTTGGCTAAGTGACTCAGCAGGAAGCCAGGGTGCTTACTTTGTATACATCCTGAGCCTGTGGAAGAGGAGGACATGGAGATTATGTGAGAGCTACACCCCCTGAGGTGGGGGTAGCCTGTTTACAAAGTAAGGCAGGGAAAGAAGCTGCTTGCTGCCATTCCTCCTTTTTGCTCTGGCTGCTTTGCTGTTCGGCTGCCATTCCCCCTTGCTCTTGTTGCTTTGCTACTTTCTGCCTGGGAGCCAGCCAAGTATGGACTGAAACCTCCACAAACTGTAAGCTAAATAAACCTTTCCTTCCTTCATTTTGGGCGTTGGGTATTTTGTCTCAGCAACGAGAGAAAAGTAACCAAGACAGATGGTTTAAGATTAGAAGATCTATTATAACTAATCATATTAGTAGAAAAGAGAAGTATTAAGATTCCCTCAACAGATACAGAAATAATAGTTTATTAAATGCAACATCCATTTAAGGTAGAAACTCTTTTTAAATAAGGAATACAACTAACCTATAGGAAAAACTGTGGGATAAAAATTATTAAAAATATATATACTTTTAAAGACAAAGTTTCACTGCGCAGTTCAGGCTGGCTTCAAACTCACAACAATCCTCCTGCTTCAGCATGCTAAATGTTGGGGTTACAGGCATGCGCCAGCAGGCCTGGAGTGATAAAAAATTATTACTTGCACATAAAAAAACTAAAAATGAGAGAAAGCACTACATTTTAAAAAGTAGGTAAAAGGAAAAAATAGTCAATTTGCAAAAGAAATATGGTTAGTAAATACATTCTGAGTAATACGCAACATTTTATATTCATCCAACTGGCAAAACCTAAAAGTCCTGACAATAAAGTACTGTGTTGATGATGATGGGGACCAAAGGAATTCATAAAAAACTACTCTGGAATATAATCACTCTGAAAACAAACTGTTAATAATTCATTACAGCAGATATTCTTAAGGAAACCTTCGTGCACATATACACAGAAGACATGATCAATAGTATTCACACTGGGATTTCCACCCTGCCCCCCCACACCGGTGGGGGTGGTTATTATTCTCTAGGTTCTTCACCCGTAAAATAGGTAGATTTTTGATATAGTCACTTCGTGCGATGTTGTCTGCTGGGAAAACGGCCAGGATAAAGCTAAGCCTATCAATATAAATGAATCTCACAAATACACTACTGAGGAAAAGAGTGAATTATATGAGTATTTTCACTGAACCATTTATATAATGTTTTGAAACATTTAGGGGGATCTTTTTGAGATTGGGTCTCGCTATACAGTTCAGACTGGCCTTAAGCTCACTTTGTAGCCTAGGCTGGTCTTGAACTTGCAATGATCCTCCTGCTTCAGCCTCCTGAGTGCTGGGATTACAGGTGTGCACCACCACACCTGGCAATTTTTAAGGATAAATATGTATCCAGTAAAAATATAAACATACCTATGGGAATGAAAGTCTAAAAACAGCCCCTAGATTACCTGTACACAGAAGAGAGCATGTTTTACTTTCATAGCATGTGCATGTCCTGTGTTATTCTTTCACTGTTGTATATTTATGTATTATAGTATAAATTTAAAAACTGAAAAAATGAGATCTACTATAGGAACCAATCAATATAACCTCTATATAAGACCTACATTTAAAGTTCTTTAAATGTAAATAGTGGTAAATGTAATTAAAGTTAAAAGCTGTCAAGTCAGGAGCATTCTGACAAACTCTCAGTGAGTGTGTATGTGTGTGTGTGTGTGTGCGCGCGCACGGAGGGTTTGCTGCTACTGCAGCCCTCATGAAGAACATGGCTTTTGTTCTTACCTGTCTCTTGTATGTCTCAAGTTGACTTCGAGCTGCATTGGCCTTTCTTAACTCTTCCTCTAGACTAACAGTATTCTGCATATACATAGTATTTTTCTCCTCTAAGAGTTTAACCTGCCGTCTCAAATCGCCAAGGTCTTCCAGTTTCTTTTTATAAGATTCCACCTGACCTTCTAGTTTAGACACTTTATCAGAAGAATGTCTGGAATGAGATGGGAAATTAAAAATCAGAAACACATCCACAGTTGTAAAGCTGCTTGAGATAATGTTAAACCCAGAGAGATCACCAGGAAACAACATACTCTTAACGAAATTACAAAATGAAAGGAGACCCCAGGTCTTTTATTCAGGTTATGAAAAATGACCAAAATTACAACAAAATATATCAAGAATGATATGTAATTTAAGAAAAGTAGGAAGAGGTAGCCATCAGAGTAACATTTAGCACACGAGTAAAATGAAAGCTGTAGAGTGTCCAAATGATTTACCAATGAGTATGTCATGACATCATAGGAAACAGGCTTTGAAGCCTGTTTTAGGGGGGAATATGCAGTGGCAAATTTTAGGGATCTAAGGGGAGAATATAAATTTTATCTTATGTGATCTAAGTTTGGTTCTGGAAACAAGAGAATAGTAAGTCTTTATTTTAAATATTAAAGAGACGTTGTGTGTGTGTGTATGTACAGGTTCAAAATGAAAAGAGGGGGCTGGGGATTTAGCTCAGCGGCAAAAGCGCCTGCCTGGCAAGCGCAAGGTCGTGAGTTCGGTTCCCGGTACCGGAGAAAAACAAAAAAACAAACAAAAAAAACAAAATGAAAAGAGAAATGATAATTGATACAACATAGTCCCTAAGTATGGTCTGTGACCCCTAGTAATTAATCCTAAAAGATGTCAGCATTCTAAAGGCAAATAAGATGTGTGGGAATTCAGGGAAGTTCAGGGGAGCAGGAGACAGGGGCCATGGAGAGTTCAACAGGTCACAGGCTCTTTCCTCTGAGCAATCAGCAACAGGATCATCTACCGAGACTAAGGCATGAGGATGTGTGCGGTATGTGGGCAGAGATGTGGGCAAACTTATGAGAGCAGAGAGAACAATGTACAGATGCATAGCGGAATGGCAGGCTGGAAGAAAAATCTAGTGATGAGATCATGAATCTATAGTAGGACAAAATTTTATCACTATATGATTCTCTGTACATTTTCAGTTATCAAAAAGAAAATGTGGAAAACAGAGAAGGCTGGAGTGATTCAAGAGAGGACAAGAGACATGTAAGAGACATGGTAAGAAGTGAGGTGCCTGAGAGAATGGCAAGATGAGTGTCCAGCAGGGAAATGAAGCCTTATGATGTGATGTGTGCTAACATCTAAGAGCAAGGCAGACCCAGTGCCTGTAGGGCTCAGAATTAAACAACAGGGGTAGCAAGAAAAGCTCTGGAGCTTTATAAGTGCGAGCCATGGTTATATGCTAATTTTTCTATTAAACAAATATGTAATGGATTTGCCAGATCTTTCCAAGTATTTACAAATATAAATTCATTTGATTCTTCATACAAACCTGAGGTTTGTACTTCCATTTTACAAATGACAAAATGGCTGCACAGAGGTTAAATAAATGATGCCTCTAAACCCAGGTAGTCCGGCTCTGAAAGATGCTGTTCAGAGAGCCTAGAGTCTTAAAATGACAGACAGAACTGCTCTGTCTAAGATCCCACACAAAGGAAAGACTGCTTACCTAAGAACGTCTATCTCATCCTTTAGAGACTGGGCTTCATCAGCTAAAGCAGTTAGCTCATCATTCTGCTGCCGAAGTTCAGAGATCTCCTTTTCTAACTCTTCACAGCGTATTCGATAATCATCTTTGGCTGCTTCTAGTCTGAAGCCAAAACAAAATAGATCAAGAAAGTACTACTTATTGTCTCATAATTTTCTAAATAAATTAAAATAAGTAAAATAAATAAGTAAAATAAAATAAAAACATGAAACATGGGAATAAACTCTTGGTGAACATGTCTCAATTTGTGGCCACAAGATGTATTTCCAAACCCTAACTTCATGAAAAGGGTTCCCTGGTTCCAAGGTTTGGAAAAGGTCACAACTGGTGACCACTGTACTGATGAAAAGTTAGACCCCAAAATGTTCCCCAATACTGCAGATGTAAGTTTAAAGATTTATTTTTTGATTAGGAAATTAAAATTTATTCCTTGAAAATTTGTGAAGTATAGAAAATATAAATCATATATTAATCCAGACAGATAAGTACTGTTAATATTTTGGAAATGCATCCTCCAGTCTCACTTCTGTTGATATTTTCTCCTTAAAAATGGGTAATACTATTCCTACCTCTAATTAAGCAGATTGGTTTACTTAACATACATCCTTCCTTTGATTTACATGGCTTTTCATCTCTTCTTTCACCTTATGTAGTTAATTATTTACTTCACCCTCAGCCTTTTTTGACTTTTGAGACAGGGTCTATATTAAGTTGTCCAGGTTGGCCCTGAACTTGTGATCCTCCTGCCTCAGACTCCTGAACACCTGGAGTACCTGGTATGTGCCACCACACCCAGCCTAATATACAGAGTTCTGAGTGTTACGTAATGCAATTGATTAATCTTACATTTCAGAGTTTCTGCTTTTAGTGTACAACTAAAGTTTTCTTCTCTCAAGCCAACATTTTGTTAGTACTTCTTCTACTGGTTTCACTTTTAAGGTTTTAATTTCCTTGGAATTCTTTTTAGTATATAATGAAATGCTGGAATCTAACTTTTCTTGCCAAATAAGCTACGCTAAACCATTTAGGGAACAACTGAAACTCTGTCAGTTATAAAATAATACCTTTATCATATTAGGCATTTTTGTATGTTTAGATCTGCATTTGTGTCACTGGATTGTCTTTTATTGTACCAGTACTAAACTAACAAAGATGAAACAAAAGCATTATATCTGACTATACCAAGACTAGTTAATAAAAAATACTAAACTGTATAGCAATGATAAAATATTTGAGGTAAGGCACTTCAAAACGTAGTATTACAAAATGTGTTCTGAAGTCGTAACAGCACTAATCACTATTGCCTTAATAATGAAAATGTAACTTCCTAAGCCATTTAAAGATGAGCCACAATTTAGGGAAGGTGTAAAGTCAGGCTTGGATCTTATCCACTGAATTTTTCTTACAAAATTAAGATGTGGACAGCGTTCTCAACCTTTCTGGTTTGAGGACCCTTTTACACTCTGAATTACTGAGAACACTAAAAAACTTTTAGTTGTGCAGGTTTTAATCTATTGATATTGTCGTATTAGTAATTAAAACACTTAAATATATTTACTTAGCTCATCTGAAAACATAATAAATCCACTATGCTAACATAAACGTTGTGTATGACAAATCTGTTTCATAAAGCTAAGAGGTGAGAAGGGTAGCACTGTTTCACACTGTTGTGATTTATAACTGGCTTAGCAGAATACAGCTGGGTTCTCCTGTTTCTATATTCACCTGCTGTAACATTTTGTTTTTTGCTGAAATAAAGAAGATTCACCCTTGCACAAGTATGTAGCTGGAAGAAAAGACCTTGAAGACTCTTAAGTGGTCTACAAGAACCATCAGGGTCCTTGAATCATATTTTGAACTATTGATGTAGAACACAGGAAATGCAGACCGTAAGTTTTCTGAGAAAACTAAGCTTTTCCTTCCTTCCTGCTTTTCTTTCTTCTCGTCCTTCCTTCCTCCTTCCTTCCTCTCTTTCTCCCTCCCCCCTTTGTTTTGCTATATCCCCAGCCCTTTTTATTTTTTAAATTTTAAGAGAGGGTCTCACTAAGTTGCCCAGGCCAGGCTCAAACTTGCAATCCTCCTGCTTCCGCTCCCCAGACTGCTAGGATTACAAGCATGCACAACTATGCCCAGCTAAGATAATCTTTCCTTTTTTTCTTGTTAAGGCACAATGAAAAAAAGAGAAAAATATATCCAGCAACATTTTTATGGAGGAATAAAACAGCAGATACATTACTATATTAAATTACTGAATGATACAAAAATCTAACAGATATCTAATTTCTGTTTTAAAACTAGAAATCTAAGCCAGGCGTGGTGATGCATGCCTACAACCCCAGCACTTGGGAGGTTGAGGCAGGAGGATTGCCATGAGTTGGAGGTTAGCCTGGGCTACATAGGGAGTTCAAGACCAGTCTCTGCACCACACAGCAAGATCCTGTCTCAAAAAACCAGCCAGGCAACCAACCAACACACCCACCCACCCACCCTAGAAATCTATGGCTAGACAAAACAATAGGTCAGAATGCACCTTTTAGTAAATCATAACAAAGGGATCCTCCTTCTTTTCTTTTGTCCTGCTTTTCAAGAAGTTATATCCAGGAGAAAGCCCCTTTTAAGTCCTACCTGTCCTTTTTTTTAAGTTTATCTTTATAAATTGTGTACCAGGCCTTTGTATTGTATCCCTTTAAACTGAGTGCCTGGAAAGGACATTAGTCTATTTAAATACCTTCCTCTATCTTTTTATGACAACAGGCCCTTTAAAAAGATACACCAGGTGTAGAGAGCTTGCCCAGCATGCAGGAGGCTCTGGGTTCCATCCCCAGCATGACATGTACAGACTCAACAACAAAAAAGGGAAAATACACTTTGAAATCTCTATCCTGAAGTTTGTGGTCTATTTTACTCAATTATTTTTTAAAAGTAATTTCAGATTTTGGGTGAATTTAATCTTTTTGATGATTATTCCAAGTCTCCTTCATGACCCTTCACTAGCATTCTTTCTGTTTTCCTCTTAGTATATTCTTGTGTCTTTGACTGCCACGAAGCAGCAGGGCAGGGCAGGGTAGGTGGAGGTGAATCAGGTGTGTGGGATGCAGAGTTGGCATTTAGTTTCTTTCTTTCATTCATTTACTTTGCAGGTATAGCATTCTGCCCTTATGAAATGTTGAGGGTGTAGCTTTGTTAGAATTTTTCCTATACAGGAATTTTTTTTTTTTTCTTTGTCTTTTTGAAACAGGGTCTTGCTATGCAGTTTAGGCTGGCCTTGAGCTCGCTTTGTAGCCCAGGCTGGTCTCAAACTCACAATGATCCTCCTGCCTCAGCCTCCTGAGTGCTGGGATTACAGGCGTACGCCACTGTGCCCAGCAAATTTTTAATGTTATGTGGGAACATTTTGGTACTTGTTATCTACACAGCCCTCTTGGCCTGCAGTTACCTAGAAGTCCTAGTATTACATTCTCTTTTTGAGACAGGGTCTCACTATGCTGTTCAGGCTGGCCTCCAGCTCCCTGCTAGGATCATAGGCATGAACCACCAAGCCTGCCCTAATATTACATTCTTTAAATGACAGTTAACAAATTTTTTAAGGTTACATTTTAATAAGTTTTTACCTAAACGTTTCTTCTTGTAGTTGTTCTAACTGAGTCTGGAGCTGCAAATGTCTTCTTCCTGCTGGACTGTTGGGATCTTCTATAGAATCAGACTGATTGAGCCTTTCCATTAATACTTGATTTTCTGCCAATAAGCTACTCTTCTCCTCTTGCAATGCTGCAACCTGTTGGAATACAGAAAGACAGCAGTTATTTCATCCAGTTATGCTGGCATCAGCTCAATCTATGAAGAAGTGCAATCACCTCCATATACACATTTATATTACTTTGCAATACTACACACGCAGAGTAAGCAAGAGTTCATTCATTTATTTTGAAAAGAGGTGTTGCTATATTGCCAAGGTACATCAAACTCTAGGTCTCAAGGGATCTTCCTGCCTCAGCCTTCCAAGTAGTAAGGACTACAGGTGCATGCCATGACATCTGGCTTTATTTCACATTTTAAAAACACCACCAAGACTGCACAGATGGCAAATAAGCACACAGAAAGATAGTCTGCATTGGTTACCAAGGAAGTACAAACCCAAGCCACAAAATTATCACTGGATTTCACTACAACAGATAAAATTAAAAGTACTAACTATACCAAGTGTGGGCAAAGATGAGAACAGAAGTCTCAGACACTTCTCACAAGACTATAAAATATTTCAAACACTGGACAACAGCTCAGCAGTTTCCTGAAAAACTAACATGTAGCTACCATATGATTCATCTAGCCATTCTACTCCTAGGTATTTATGCCAGAGAAATAAAAGTACATGCACACACAAAGAGAAAAAAAACAAAAGGTTTCAGTTGCTTTATTTGTAACAGAAATAGCACAAAAGTTTATCAAGTGAATGGATAACTAAATTTTGGTGTACCTGTTTGATAGAATACTATTTGGCAACAAAAATTTTAAATATTAACACTAACAGCATGGACGAATCTCAGAACAAAACAAAACAAAAAACAAAACAAAACAAAACAACTGTATGACTCCTCTTAACATAATCCTAGGAAATGCCAAGTTAATCTGTAGTAACAGAACACAGACCTGGGGACTTGCAGGAAGACAAGGGCCACAGTGAAACTTCTGAAGAGTGATAGGCTTACTATACTGATTATGGCAATGGTTTCATGTTTATATGTTAATCAAAATGTGTCAAAACTGTATACATTAACTGAGTTTACTGTATATCAATTATATCTTAATAAGGTACAGCAAAAATTGCCTGCTCTTCTTGTCTCTTTCCCAGTCCCCATTTTCTCCTGAACATGTTTAGTTGGGCTGTTGGCCCACCATTTCATTGTTCTGCACAATCATCAAAGACTCCCTGTCACTAAGATCCTCTGACGACACTGACAGGATCGATACTCCTTTTGAAGTATTTTCTTCCCCTGGCTTCCACAACACCTTACTCTCCTGCATTCTGTAACCAACTCACCTTCACCTTATTCTCCTGAGTTGATTTCTTTCCTTTTCCCTAAAGTGTCTAGAGCTTTGCTTTTCTAAGCATAGTGACGGCTTCCAGTTACCTGGGTGTAAACCAGGAAACCATCGATTTCTAGTCTAAAACACTGAATTTGAGATCATTTCCACTTACATGTCCAACAGGCATCTTAAATTTAGATTTTCTAAGTGGAACATTAAAAAAAGTGATACATAATAATTGTACATATATCTAGGGTACAGTTTGTGTGATACTGTCACACATGTATATAATGTGTAAGGTTCAAAGTATGGTAATTAGCATGTCTATCATCTCAAACTTAACATTTTTTGTATTAGGAACATTCAAAATTCTCTCTTCTAGCTATTTTGAAAAATACAATAAAGTACTGTTAACTATAATTTCCCAATGGCTTTGTACCTTACTTGGTCTTTACACAGACCAATATGAAGCCTCTTCAGAATACCTACCTCTTCCTGTATTTTTGCACTCTCTCTTCTATTCCTGCTATTTTCATCTTGGTGGTTTTGAATATACCAAGTTATATTCCTATCTTAGGGCCTTTGCACCCACCGTGTGCTTACCTTGTGATTCTCTTCCCCTAGAAAACTTGCTACTCTTAACTTCCTCAGGATTTTACTAATCACCCTCTTCTCATGGGGGCCTGTGTTGACAACCCAACTGAACATACTCCCCTCACCTTGTATTCCTCAAGTTTATCTTGTGTGCTTCATTAAGTGATGGACTGACTGCAGTTACTGGGACTGTCCTGATTCCCTACTCCTTATTTCATCCTTCCTTCTCCTTTTTTCTTTTCTGTGGTACTAGAGGTTGAAGCCAGGGCCTTTGCACTGAGCTATATCCCCAGCACTTTTTTATTTTTTATTCTGAGATGGTCTCAATTGTTAATCTGCCCAGGCTGAGCTTAAACTTGTGATTCTCCTGCTTCAGCCCCCCAGATTATGTATTTTTTCTTTAGAACACGTATCACCACATAACATACTATTATATTTATCATCTGTCTTCTTTGATGGAATGGAAGTACTTTGGGGTCAGAGATGTTTTACCTACTTCTGTCTCTTTCTCCCTTTCTTAACAGTACATGACAGACACATGGTGGGTGTTCAGTAAATGTTGCTCAGTAAATCTGAAATGTCAGCTCTATGCTTGTCATGTTTCTAAAATTGCATGTGGTCTACTACTGAGCTACACCCCCAGCTTCCCAATACTCATCTCTTTGCTGCTGTTTTCTAAGGTTAACTGTACACTGGTCAGAAGTATGCTCTACATCACAGATCCTTCAATTTAATCAAGAATTAATAACCTGACGTGGTAAATTTAATGATGGCTGAATGTTTAATATAAAACTTGAACATAACACTAGAATTATCACACTAGCTATAAGGCTGGGGTG